AAAAATACCTTTACAAGGTGATCGAACACATGTCTTCCGATACAAACGACTTCCTTTACAGTTTTTACCACCATGTTGTGGTGAAGGATTGTTACATTTTCTTGATAAGATCTTTACACCAGTACCACATGTTACTGAACAGGATCTGATCTCTGACCATGATGACCAAATACCATTAACTGAAAGAATATTAAAGTTTCAGTAAAGAAATATTACTGACAATCTAAATGTTGTAGTACGATACCTGGACAATGAGTAAACTTAAAGCAAGGTTTTGTCTGTTTACGTTTTCCTGGACATATTCCTATGCATTTTCTTGTACGTACTTTCACGTGCTCACCACATGTACCAAACTTTGGGATGCAAGCCCATGAAGACCAAGATGTTTTGTTTGAACGTTGCAAACTTAACTCGTTGTTTGCACGTAGAAAACTTAAGACACAGACGAAAGAAAAAATTTTACACACAATTCTAGTTATAATCATATCTCCTTCTCAATCCTCCAAAAACTGCCATTAAAAGTGCTGGGACTCAGTTCAATAATGACTTCATTAAATTGATTAAATCAGGTTCCAATTAGCTTCAATTAGTTTTAATTAATGTCAACAGGGAGTGAGCAATATAATACAAGTGCACACATATAAAATCGCCAAAATAAACAGGAATCGGTCGACACAAATTTTAGTTGCTATTATCGCATTCATGAAATGGAATAAAAAATTTTTATCAAATGTATTTTTCGTAAAGAAAAAACCGTAAATCTTTAAATACGATTAAAACTTGTATGTCAGATTGTGCCGTATTTTGGACTGTAGTTTTCTTATTATTTCAACGCGCAATCGGTAACTCGAACCTCGCCATATTATAATTATAAATTTTAATTGTGCAAACTTGTGAATTCTATGTAATTTCATACCATTTGGTGCAAGAAAGTTCTTTAAAGAAAAAATGTTACCAGCAAAGAACAGTCCGATTTCCAAACTTTTTTTTCGATAAGGTAGCTATGTTTGGCTAATCGTAATAAATTGCTTTTGGCCTGGAAATTCTCAATTGCGACATGTTAGTTATGCAGCCAAAAAGCAACAGTAAAGATTGATTAATATAAATAAATACTCATAAATTACCAATAGAGTGGTCTTCACTATATTCAAAATCTACTTCAAAACTCCCAGCAGTGTGGTGTAAGATAATTTGTTCATCGGATGAAACATACTCCGACAATCAAAGATATCTTGTAAATTCAATGTAAATTCAAAATACGAAGTGGAATATTTGTTTAAAGATACAGTTCAGTTTAAAGATATAATCCTTAGTTTAATACTTTCACAACTTTTGCTTTATCTTTGTTTGAAATTTCTACTTTAAGATACAACTTCAATTACATTTTTAATAATTACTCATTGCCAAATTTCAGGCGAGAAAATTAGCATCTTTTAATTCAAGAGTTAAAAGTAAAACGTTATTATACATCGAAAAGGCTTTTGAAGTACTTAAATAACTATCAAAAATATCACATGCCTACTGCTCACTTTCGAGTCTTGCGGCCCCTAGCTGTTTGAATTGTGAACAGTGTTAGCAAAAGTTCACTAAAATGGCAAAAATTCGTATTGGAACAACGGGAACAACTTGGACACTTTCAGAAATCATTGGAAATTATCGTAAAACCTCGGAATACCTTGGAAATTACCGGAAAACATCGGATTAACTTGAAAATCACCGTTAGCTTAAAAGAAGCTAAATCCCAACAAGCTACGTGAACGTGGCCTTGATAAAGCTCATAATTATTATTTTTATAAATAATAGCTATAGGAATCTGTTTGGCAGATGAAGATTGGTCAAGTTAGTAAAGTCCTTAGAAAGACTGTTGGTGTTGATTTTTCCTGGTGTTTCCACGACCTTAGACGCGTGACTTTTCATACACTGATGAAAAGATCTTGATGCTATATGCACTAAAGACCTACCCCCAATCATTGACCCCCAATCATTGACCCCCAATCATTGACCCCCAATCATTGACCCCCAATCATTGACTCCCAATACTACAAATTTATTTCACATATCCTGGCATCTGTTTTTCATTTTTCTTATGGTTCATATTCAATATACAGCAATGTAAAAGTTTAATTTTATTTTTAAAAGTCCAATTATATTTCGTGGTAGTGTCTCTTTGTTTTACCATGACAATAACTACAATTTTACAGCCAAATTCATATCTATTTTGGCAATAATGATACGTGTTCTTTTACATTTGAATTGCAACTATATCTGAAGACTCTGATGACAAGATTTTCATCTATTGAGCATTATATTTAATTTAATAGGTGATGCTTCTTGACATACGGTATACTCACTGATAACGTCAATCATAATATAATTCATTACCATATCATTAATCAACAGTTTCCATTCACTACTCTATAACCACCCTGTCTACCTTCAAGCATATACCAATCACAAGTGGACATGCAGTTAAATAGTAATGTTGTTTTCAATCAAGCGCATTTTTAAAAGCAATAAAAAACTAATATTAATTTTGAAAAATTGCTAAAATTATGAAGTGCACGTGTAAGCTGCTTGAATTTAACTTGTGCAGAAGTATTCCAAAATAGGTGGCAGAAGTCTATTTTGGAACACATCGCCTTTTTGCAGAAATTCCTTTCTATATTAGAGAGCGAGGGAACTCTCTAATGTAGTCAGAATACTGCAACAACTGATTTATGTTCATGTTTTGTGTTTCGATGTATTTTGCTAATGACATTAACACTTTTCACGCCAAAGAATCAAAGTCAAGGATTTCGTTAAATCTACCTATCTAAAAGGGACCCAAACGAAAACTGATACATTTCATTAATGATAGAAACACACTTACAGTCCTGGCGTCGCTTTACTTCTTTATCTTTTCGTCCACTCTGCATCTGCAAGAAAAGCCTAAAGAACACGTTAGATGCATGAAAAAAACAGACAAACATATACTTATGTCTTCTTCTTGATCTTTGGCTTCTTGGCGTCCTCTGTACCTGAAAAATACTGAGCAACAAGTTAGTGGTGCGACGAAAGACAAACTGACAAACAAAAAAAAACAAACAAGGAATCAAACACATACCGCAGTCGCTGTCTGTATCTGCTAGCTGTTGTCTGTAAAAATAATTGTAACAATACTTGTAAAAATACAATCCGTAACAAATTGTTGAAACTCATGTATTTGGTACAATCAATGTTTGCCGGAAACATTTGCAGGAAAGGCTGACTTCCATACTACATGTACTGTCAAGCTACTAGAAACATTTACAGAAAATTGAAACATTTACTAGAAGAAAAATATTCCTCAACTCTATCGTAGGCACTGTTATAACATCCCTCAATGTTATAACTGTGCCAAGTAGAGATAGACTTAACTTAAACGAATAAATATTCAACGTCGACGGCCTGTTAAGCTTTGTTTGAACGATACGATTGTTACTTCAAATAAGAAATTAAGATTTTGCAATACTCTGCCAGTGTATTGCAATTTTTTCTTTAATCCGCGTAAAATGTCTATTGTAAATATGATTTCAGATCAATGTTATATGCAAGATCCGAACGCAAAAAGCACCACCATATTAAAATGTTGACAATCATTGTAACTGAACATGCGTTAACTTCAATAACATTTCTCAATGGTATAGAAGTTCCAGTCAGTTAACATGCAAATACATTAACTCCTATAATCCCCAATGTTCCAATGTATTTTTCCACGTATAGTTCTATGCTGTTAGGGATGGTTTCGGGATGACTTCCATGTAGAAGAATGTTTTGCGTCGAGCGATAACTGTTTTCTTCGATTGCCAATATCTTAACGAAGACTGTTGTCTAAAAACATAAAATACAGAAGCAATGAAATTGACTGTTGAAGTATAGAATATAGTTGTAACAAATAACTATGTTCTTTATTAAGGCTTTAGCTACTCACCATCTTTATTTCCTGAAAATACTCCTTAGTACTTTAATATGGCACGTTGATCAAATGTTTCAGTATGTCAAATATAGATTTTTTGCTTATCCGTTCTTCGTTCAAGAGTTCTTGTCAATTTTCATAAATTTCACTTCACTCAAGGCCATTATTCCTCTTCATCTTCTGCAATTCCCAGCGGTTCATTACAGTATTTACTTCTTGAGTCACTTGGTTAAATCTTTTAGCACATTGTTTTAACATCGATAAAAAAGCTTCCAATGCCAAAGTTATTCAGGGAGATAGTATTATCCTTTGTCAGACCCGTCTTGCTACCACTCACGGTAAAACTACTCAAATGTGTATGGTAAAACTGCTCAAAGCGAAGTATATAAGAACAAGAAAAATTGACGTAAAATATTAAACAAAGACAATAAGTGAAGAGTGGTTCATTAGCATTGACGTAAGCACATAGCTATACTATGCTTCAGCCGAATGTTGAACAAAAGAAAATTCCGGGTTCTTTGTCAGTTTACGTCTCAGAAGGATAAAAAATTTAAGATTTCACTAGTGCAAGCCATGCATTTTCAATTAAGTAAGGATTAAAATAGTTTTTACAAGAAGAATCGTTTGATAATCCTTACCCTCAACTCAGCAGTATCATTTAAAAAATTTACATAATATTTACTTCTGTTTCATGTGCATATTTCTTCAAGTGAATATTTCTTTTGATATCTTATACATTTTAATAGAAGGAAGTTTTATAATTAACTACAGATAAGCAAGGCGTTTCTCATCAAATGTATGGACAATGGCTGATTTTGATAAATTTTGTTGCATGTTTTCGACGAGCTCTGAGTGACTAAGCTATGAAATAAGTTATTTCTGCTGAGTGAGATTTGAATTTCCTTTTATTTAACGTCTTTTTTTTGAAATGAAGATAGTAAAAAAGACAAATGTTTTCGGTTTTCCTCGCAAGCAAATAAACTAGTTACAAAAAAAGCAACTGAGCGCTTAGCGTACGTACAACGTATCTATTTTTATTGTTTTTAAACATCAGACGAGCCGCCAGTTATGGATAAAGAAAATGGCGAGCAAAGCAAATCTTTTTCTTTTAAGTTTTCAAGGACTAAACAAGCCTTACCAGTTTTAAAATCCGACGAGAAATTCTGCGATTTCTCGAAAGAAGATGATCCTTCTATTGAGCTTGTCTATGCTGCTGAAGGGAGCGCTTTGAAAAGGTTTTTACTTGTTAAATAGCATCTAAATAAAAGTGAACAACTCGTTTAAAATTTCCAATCAATTTAGTTAGTATTTGATTAAGGATTTACGCTATATGTATATTAACCATGCTTTGTTTTAGTTCCAAAGAAAAGCATGACAAGGAGCTGGTAATTCCATGTCGAAAAACAACTGATAGTCTTTTGGATAAATTAAAAATAAACAATGAAAATACTCTAGAAAATCAAGCTGCAAAAGAAATAATACAAGGTTCTTCTCGTGCATTGTGCTATCCTTCATAATTTTACTAGATTTAACAGCAATGTCGCATTGAAATAGTATTTTAACTTTTATTTCAATATGAAATTGTTTTTTGTAGAATTGACTAGTGCAACACAAGAGACTAACACCACTGGAAATAACTTTTCTATTCCATTAACTTCAAACCAAGATGACAGCGCCGGAAATGCAGTCAATTTGGAAGATGAGGTTTGTTGTTAGCAAAGAATGTTCAACTTATGAATCTTTCAATGGTTTTCTACAAAAATTGGCAAGTGCATCTTTCATTCTTTGTGGTATTTTGTTTTCATTTTTATTGTTATGTTTTAGAGCACTTTGGAAGACTATGATACTGTACCAGTCTCAGAGTTTGGTGCTGCAATGCTTCGAGGAATGGGTTGGAAGAAGGGACAAGCTATTGGTGGAACAAACAAAGGGTTAACTGTACCAATAGAGTTTATTCCTCGGTCACAAGGACTTGGACTAGGGGCAGAACGAATTTCTAATGATAATGAGAAGAAACGGCGTAGAAAACCAGGGGATAAGGACTCATCTGAGGTATTAAATTTTTGTATTTAGTAATCCAGCATATTGGTTATATTAAAGATTTCAATAGTCTTGAATATACTTACTTAATATGTTAAAATGATTCAATATGATTTTTAGAAATTTAGTCCAATTCTTAAAGAAGATGGTAAAGTTCAACATTATCGTGGTTTAGATGACAAACCATCCAATAGAAAGGTTGCAGGTGTGTAGTGTAAAGTTTCACATTGTTTCATAAATAAGTAATCATCTGGTGAAGTTCTGTGTGTATGTTTATTTTAAAACAGTTGCTGGATAGTGAGAAATGTTTTGTTGTTCACTAATTAATATTTTATAATATTGTCCTATAAAATTATGTATTTGTGCATTCTAAATTTCTACCTTCAAACAGATACTGCCTATACTGAACTAGATTAATGGTAGGATGTTGACCAAATCATATGTTTTATAGCAAAAAAAATTTCAAAGGGAGCATACATTGTCATTGAAAATGGTGTCTTTAAAGAAATGAGTGGCAAGGTTGTTGTAATATGTTATTCCTAAAATGTTTTATAGAGTTTTACTCTGCTGCTAATGATACCTTTACATGTATTGTGAATTTATATATTTGTTAAGATTATCTCAAATGATGATGTTAGTGGAAGAATTGATGTCATTTTGGCTATAAATGACAAGGTAAATAAATGTCATCTTTTGAAGAACATGGTTTCAATGTATGTCAGAAATGTTTGCATTAAATTGTTTCTCTTTAGCTTTCCCTTTTAGGAATTGGTCTGGCGTTCTTATTAAAACATCTTTTCTGCTCTAAACCATATAACATTGCTGGTCTTACATCAATTTTGTAAACCTCTCATTTCACTCTTGCTTGTATTCTTTTATCATTCAACACACCAGATAACTTCTTTTACATTTAGCTTCCATTGCTCTAAGCTGAACTTTTGTGTACCATCATGGTGAACATTCATATCATTATGGTGAACATTCATACCATCATGGTGAACATTCATATCATCATGGTGAACATTCATATCATCATGGTGAACATTCATACCATCATGGTGAACATTCATATCATCATGGTGAACATTCATACCATCATGGTGAACATTCATACCATCATGGTGAACATTCATACCATCATGGTGAACATTCATATCATCATGGTGAACATTCATATCATTATGGTGAACATTCATACCATCATGGTGAACATTCATACCATCATGGTGAACATTCATATCATCATGGTGAACATTCATACCATCATGGTGAACATTCATATCATCATGGTGAACATTCATACCATCATGGTGAACATTCATACCATCATGGTGAACATTCATACCATCATGGTGAACATTCATATCATCATGGTGAACATTCATACCATCATGGTGAACATTCATATCATCATGGTGAACATTCATATCATCATGGTGAACATTCATACCACCATGGTGAACATTCATACCATCATGGTGAACATTCATATCATCATGGTGAACATTCATACCATCATGGTGAACATTCATACCATCATGGTGAACATTCATATCATCATGGTGAACATTCATATCATCATGGTGAACATTCATACCATCATGGGGAACATTCATACCATCATGGTGAACATTCATACCATCATGGTGAACATTCATATCATCATGGTAAACATTCATACCATCATGGTGAACATTCATATCATCATGGTAAACATTCATACCATCATGGTGAACATTCATACCATCATGGTGAACATTCATACCATCATGGTGAACATTCATATCATCGTGGTGAACATTCATACCATCATGGTGAACATTCATATCATCATGGTGAACATTCATACCATCATGGTGAACATTCATACCATCATGGTGAACATTCATATCATCATGGTGAACATTCATACCATCATGGTGAACATTCATATCATCGTGGTGAACATTCATACCATCATGGTGAACATTCATACCATCATGGTGAAGATTAGTGCCATCGTGATAATACATTCATAATACATGCAAAGATATCATGAATAATTAACTATAAATTTATTTAGAAAGTAACAATCAATCATGGTGATGTGAGACTGGTAACTAGAGATGAATATCTGCAGTTTTCAAAAGGTACTAACTCTTTTCTATTGATCTTTATTTAAAGGTTTCTTACAACATGATAGAAGCTGTACTGCAGTGTCGTTTATTTAACTTGCAGGTAATTTAGTAAAGTCGAATAAAAGTTCCAAAAGACTTCCTCAAGAATTGTAAGTTTCGTTTTTGTTTTTTTCTTTTGAATTGATTAGATAAGAAGTATACTCTTTTGTTACTTCAGGAATTCTGATAAACAGGCGAAAAAACAGAAAACTCAGTCCAGAAATGATGACAATGAAAAAGACAAAATAATTTATAAACGTTCTAGAGAGAAATGTTGGATGGTTCCTCTTCTACGGGTTCGTATTATTGATAAGACGTACAAAAATGGGAGATATTACCATCAAAAGGTAATTATATTAACAACATTAACGAAATATGTTATTGACTGCTGCTATTAAACAATTTTAACAATGGTAGGTTGTTATAGAAGATGTTATCAGTCAAACAAAATGTATATGTAGAACTAGCGAAGGGAAACTACTTGATGGTATTTATTAACATTTAATAAATTTATAGTAATATTTAATTTTCGCAATCGTTTCTAAGACATTCTTTTACTTTTTAGATGTGTTTCAAAGTAGCCTGGAGACTGTCATTCCAAAAGTTGAGCCACGGTATATTTTGTTTGTTCAAGGACAACTAAAAGGCCAGGTGAGAAAAAATTCTTTCTCATATGGTAATATTGTCTGGTTTTCGTTTATATTACTGTACATATCAGTTTGTATAACAAAAGACTCCATATTATACTGGATAAGTTACCTTAATTTACGTTTCGTAGAAATATTGCTTCTATTTATGTTTAGATTGGGGAAATAGTGGAATTAGAATCAACCAGACAAAAAGCTGTCGTCCAAATTTTACTTAGCAAAAAAATTGTTCGCTCCCATTATGATGATATATGCGAGTACACTGGAGATGTTAGCCATGAATGAAAGTCTACTGTAATAAAAATATCCTTGTCATAAAGCAACGCCTCACCATCTATCTACTCATGGTTGGTGAAAACATTCTTTAGACTCACATCCCACTAAATAGACTGACTGTCAGTCTCATAAACAGAATATGCAACATAGATATGGTATTTTTATCATTCTCATACACCCTTATTAATCAATGTAGACCAAAATTTCCCCCTCGTTTTCCCTGGAGTCCCCTCGCCCTTTCCCCAATCGTGAGCAAGAACCTGGAAACGAAAGTAAATCTTTCAATCTCTTTCATTATTGTTACATGAAGTATGTCAATGTAAATATAACTTTTGTTCAACATGTTTGTTGGCTCAATGCAGTAAGAGTGTGTTTTGAATGCACATGTAATAGAATGTCGTAATATCCACCGTATTTTTGTACAGAATTTTTCATTTTAAAAATGTCCTACTGCCGGGAGGAAGGTATGTAAGTTTTTTATTATAATCATTCATGTAATTTGACATGATTTATCGACTGAAGTTCCTACAGACGTGTCAGACAGTGTGCCACGTGAAATTATCTTAATAGACATGTATGAAACTTGTTATTTAGGTAAAGATAAAATAATATTTGTAAGTGAAGAAGATCATGCACAACCAAGCAAAGTTGAAATACCTGAGGTAGAAGACGATGCGGAGTATGAAGGTTTGATTAAAGCTAATGGTGAAATAAATTGGGAATGTCCATGTTTGGGAGGAATGGCATCTGGTGTTTGTGGAGAACAGTTTCGTGCTGCATTTTCTTGTTTTCATACAAGTATGTCAGAGCCCAAGGGATCAGAATGTATTGAGCAATTTCAACATATGCAAGAATGTTTTAAAGAATATCCTGACATTTATGGAGAGTTTGAGAGCATTGAGTCATCAGAAACAAACGAGGACATTGAAGACAGTGATAAAATTACATCTGAACAACAATTTGAGAAACAAAAGCCATTTACAGATGAAGAACAGAATACTAGTCATAAAAATACATCAACTTCTGAAGCTGTTTTATGATATTTTAACTGACAATATATTTACAAGGAAACAAGTTCCTATAATTTTTCTTTAATATTTATTGATTAGAAAATATATAGAATTCGTTTGATAAATATTTATGAATAGTTTGTCCCTTACATAACATTGGTACTTGTGTTTTCATAATCCAGTGTGTTGTAGAGTTCAGTGTTAATGTGTTATCACATTTGACACTTATCAGGATTCATGAAACATTAATAGAAATTTTCCAGGAAGCCATGAATCCAGTTATCTGTTGACTGTTTTGGTCTTTTTAAGGCACAAACAAAATAAAACCATTCAATCAGGTAAAATGAAATCTTGGTTTAAACATGAATGAGTGAAGTTTCAAAATAGCCTACATAATGTGGTCTCATTTCTATTTTTCTATATTTTTCTAAATTTAAAAAAACTTATGAACTTGAAGGAGAATCACATTTAACCAATAAATTAAAATTATTAACAAAGTGGCACAAACGGGGACTAACATATATCATAGTAGTAAGTTGATGTGTGGCAGTGTAAAGGCCTGGGGCGAGCTACTGTTATTGCACAGATCGTGTCATTTACCTGAATAAAAACTAAAATGTTTTACAGAATGGGAGGAAAACATCGAATATATTGGGGAATAAAGGCATTTGCGCAAGGATTTTTTATTGGCATTCCTGTGTGTTTGACATTCACAGATAATTTTTACACTGTTTGTCAAGTTGAAGGATTTTCAATGCAGGTAGCTTAGTATTAATTTGTTTATACTTATAAACCATGTTTTCTCCCAGTCAGAAGAAAGATTAAACAGAAATAGGCTCATATTTCTTTAGTAATAACATCTTTTCAACAGTAAAACCTTTGCTGAACAAATCTTTCGCTGAAAATGTCAAGGCAACAAAAAAACAACATGAAGCTCTTTGTTTTGACATAATAACTTTCCCAGTACTATGTGACTTTCTCTATTTTCTATATTTATTTTATGATGTCCTTGAGGTGAATATTCCAATATTTTAATTCTATTGCTTATTACTGGTTATTTTTTTCACAGCAAATTACAATAATGATCTTTTTATGTAGCCTGTCCTCAATCCCAATACTACAATAAAGGATTTTGTCCTCATTAATAGATGGAAACTTAAAAGAAATCCGAGCATACAATGTGGTGACATTGTGTCGATTGTGTAAGATATTACATTTATTAATATAATTTTTAAATGTATGGTGCAAAAATTGTTAACTATCATGTAGTGTGTCACCATTTGGAAAACTTGTTGGTTTATTTACATCTGTAAAACTTGCTGATCCACATGTTGGATTGCTGTACTCTGTGTGATAAAGCAACTTCTCTATTTCAAGGCGAACATATGCTTTTGCCTTAGGTTCTAGACGTTTTATTCTAGGTATCAAGCTTCTACAGTATAAATCATCTTCATCATTTGACTGATATCTGATATCTTCATTCATTTGAGTGTATGTTCGTTTTATTTGCTGTTGTTGCATTCTATTTGTGTTTCTTGCTGTTTCAGATGTGCTTAAAACATTTGAATCTTCTGCTATCTTTGATGTTTCATGCTTTTCACAATGATTGTAAAGTGATAAATTCCTTTTATTATCTTGTACATCAGGTGCTTCTTCTTGTGATGTGATATTCTTTGTTTGTACAATTGGAGTGTCACTTAGGTTATTTTCATTTCTTTGTGTGTACATCTCGTCGTCATAGTTGAGAAATTCAATATTTGACATCGTTACAGGACTATTTTCGTCATCGCTTGCAGCGCTCTTAGCTCGCCTTCCGTTCTCGCTGTTCAAAGACAAATCTTTGTGATTTATATGAGGTCCAAGCCACTCACAATTTTCAAAAGAAAATGGAACAAAATCAGTTACATTCCTTGATGGATTACTTCGTCGCTTTCGTAACCATCGTCCGTATGCTGTTCGAATATTTCGAAATTTTTTCTCCGCAGCCATCGGAGACATGTTAAATTTCCGCGCAACTTTCTCCCAGCTTTCATTTTTTAATTCTCTATTGCGGTAATCCTGGCAGTATTTGTTATACAAACATTCGTGTTTTTCCATCTCGGCCATAAATTCTCCATTGCAAGTCATTGCAAGAGCGATGTATTTACTTGAATGGTTCGTTACTAAAGTCGTTACCTTAACACGCTGATATTGTCGTCTGTAGTCTTGCGTAGGACGATCTCAAGCTGTAATGTTTATCAACGACGATCTTATTTTCTCGAAACAGACAATTTCATTGTTAAAATTTTGTAACTTTACTCTCATCTCATGGTTGGCGTCTGTTGTGGATCGTTGATCGTTCTGACGTCATTAGCCTCGATTTCGCCGCGATTATCGCGTATCATATGACTGCGCGTAGTGAGATTTCAAGTGTTCTCAAGTGACGCCGATTGCGTGAACCTTTCAACGATGTATGCATAAATCGCTTAGATTATCATTACAAAATTATTTCACGGTTTAATGTAGTTGTACTATTACAACGATTCAAAATTGTCACATCTTGTTTTAGACTAATAAATGTTTTACGTTAAGGTCGCCGAAAGACCCAGCTATTCTATTTATAAAAAGAGTCATTGCATTAGAAGGAGACACAGTCTGGTAATAATAATATATAATTTCTCACTGATTTCAAAACACACTTGCAAAAAAGCCCTAAATCGGCGTCAATATTTTAGCACAAAGGGTTATAAAAATCGTTTCGTTCGAATTCCTGTGGGACATTGTTGGATTGAAGGTGACAATCAAAGTTGGAGTCTTGATAGCAACTCATTCGGATCTGTAAGTTGTTCATTGTTATCTATATATATCCTAGTTTATCCAAGGTAAATCTCAACATAACTTATCCGTTTAAGGTACCGCTAGGGTTGATAAATGGTATTGCAACAAGAATAGTTTGGCCACCATCACGATGGTCGAAACTAACTAACAATATTCCACCAGGACGACAAACTGTTAATACTGAGGTTTTTTCCTCAAAGACGATGACGTAAGATTATTCTCGACAGATGCATTTGATGAAGGAAAACGAACAGATTACAAAAATAATTAATTGGTTTTTACAAAGCTATATATTTATATATGTATATATAACAGCAAATATGACCCTGTATTTCATTCGTTCATTTTCGAAGCTTTGCTCGTCACTGCCTCATGGCGTAAGAATTGCAACCATTTTATTGAATATTCAAAGATTTTTAACAGAATTAATAATGTTATGTTTTTGTGGTAAAGAATACAGCTCTAGTGTCTGTGCATAAGGCATTGGTACATCAGCACCGGTAACACGTAGGACTGGAGCATCAAGATAATCAAATCCTTCACCTTAGAAAAAGAAATTAAAGTTCATTCAGTGAAATTAAAATATGTGTCAGTTTTGTACTTACTCTCCATCATCATTGCACATATTTCTGACCCAACACCAAAAAATGGCCATCCACCTTCAACAGAAATCAAGTGATTGGTTTTCTTAACTGAGTTCACCAAAGTTTCTTTATCAAGCGGTCGAATGCTACGTAGATTAATGACCTGTGTAAACGATCAGTGAAATCAACTGTTTATATCAAAAACATTCATGACAATGATAAAACGAGGCACTTTACTTCACAATTTATTCCATCAACATTCATTAATTCATCAGCTGCTTCCAAACAAAATCCAACTGTCCTGGAATGCGATACTAAAGTTATGTCGACACCTAGACAAAATAAGTCGACTTAATTGAAATGTTATCATTACCCAAGACATTTGAAATCAATTGAGTCAAACCTTCACGTTCAATTTTTGCTTTACCAAATGGTAACACAAAATCATCTTTCATAGCTTCATCAGACATATCAAAACTTATGCCATACATCAGCTCATTTTCCAATACAACAACTATAATATTTATATATATGCACAATTACAATCAACCATGGATGATTTCTTTACATGATTTCATTTACCTGGATCAGAATCTCTAATGGCAGCCTTTAATAAACCTTTAGCATCTTCAGAAGAGTAAGGAGACACAACCTTAACAATGCAAAGCACAATCAGAAAGGTAAGTTTCATTGCATAAAGGTTTGTCATTGAACATACTGTGTACCTTTAGACCTGGACAATTACCATACCATGCAGCATAATCTTGCGAATGTTGAGCTGCTACACCAGCTGCTGCACCATTTGGACCTCGAAACACTATGGGGACTGGAACCTACAGGTCACATGACTGAATAAGATAGGTCATGTGAAAATGAATAAATACAAATGGAAGAACTTATGGCTCAAACTATTTAATCACACATTACCTCTCCTGCAGACATGTAATAAGTTTTTGCAGCAGAGTTGACAACCTATGTTGAAATTATATTTCAATTTTTAGGGATGAAAATGAAGAACTCACATAAATATTTATATTTCATAAAGCTCACCTGATCAATTGCTTGCATAGCAAAATTAAAAGTCATGAATTCACAGATTGGTTTTAATCCTGCCTGTAAGACATTGATTAATGAAATAAATCCCATTCAAATGAAATAAATTTCCACATCCCAACTTACCATTGCAGCACCTACAGCAATACCAGCAAATCCCATCTAAAATTAAAGTAAGTTGATTTTTGAAAACAATTCTTTCAAGTTCATAAAATGGATGAATATCAAGTTTGTAACAATACCTCACTGATTGGTGTATCTATAACACGATTTTCTCCATATTTTTCAGATAATCCACGTGAAATCTGAGAAAGTGACAAATTTTCATCAAAACCAGGTATGATTCACAACAATTAACAATTTAAAAGTTAAGATATTGAGAAACATCAACTCAACCTTATATGCACCATCATAACGAGCAACTTCTTCACCAATAAGAAATACAGAGTCATCAAGACTCAATTCCTCATCTAAGGCAGCATTAAGTGCATCCCGTACAGTTACCTGTCATATATGTGTAAAGAAACTTTAAAAATACAACATTTCACAACATAAGCGTCGGAGCCTGGTACAACCATCCTTATTTTCCCAACTCATATTTTCACAAATACAGCATAAAATATGCATTTTAAGGAAAAAAGTAAGAACCAAACATTCATTGCTGTCGATGGAAAGTGCTTGAAAAAGATTCAATCATGAAAATACTGCATGGAATGCATGTCGTTTTTCAGACATGTCTGTCTGTCATATGATTTTATGGACTAAGATTACATTGATTATAGCTCACGTTAAAATTTTCTACAATAGCTGACATTTACTTGCAAAACAAATATTTTGTTAAATCAGGTATGTAATGATCAAAAATTTAATTTATCTAAAGTAAACACAAAAAGATCAACACAACTTACTTGAGTTGCAGCCCTGCTGGCAGACAAATGTAATTCTTTTCTACGTAAACATCTTACTATTCCCTGTAGTAGCAAAATAGGAAATTCAGCATTGCAATTTTATATTATTTTCTTTAAAAATAAATGCTTAGAACCTTTTGCGCCAAGAAATTTCTTTGAAATAACTTCGCAGCAGCGGCCATATTTCAATCATCCGATTACAAATTTTGTCGCATTTTTTGTCGGTTTCTCGAATAAATTGTCGCCAAAATGGCAGAGTATGGAGAAAAAGGCTTTAGTTGGAATATTCAGATGTTGATAGTTGATACTGTTAGAATTGAATAACCAAAATTGTAGCTTCTTCACGATAACAGTAATAAACAACACAATGACACATTTATTTTTGTATTACAATTTTCCATTTTCATGAAAGAATTTAAATACAAATAATGTAACCACAGTAACTTGTTTGATTTTCAAACATTACTTGCTTATGAGTAATTTATGTTAACCAATCATTGCAGATGTTAAAGGTAAAGAGAAACTAATGTTTTTGTGCTTCCAATTTCCTTTTTAAGCTCTCGGGCATTTCTGGTGGTGGAGGTCGGGGTAATCTGAAGAATACTTTAACAGAATCATATATAAACCATTGTGCAGCTGTCAATGTACCAATCATAAGAATACGTGGTCCCAGTCCTTTCCATAAACCTACAGATAAAAATAACAATTGCTGGGTGACTTTTCAATCATTGATGACATTTTATAATCATGAAATATCCTACCCTTCATTCCAAGTTCTTTGGCTGCTTGTAAAGGAGTGCTTCCAACATCATTGTTCAATTTGGATACAACAGTGTCAGCAGGATGAGATACAACAGCACAGAATACACCAGCTATATAAAATACAAAATTATTATCATATCATCTGGTTAAATACAATCTAAATGCTTTATACAGCTATATACACACTTACCAATATACCCAGCGACGAATGTAACAACCAATTGCTCACTTTTGCTACATTCATTTCTTTAAAATTGAATAAAAATTATAAATATTTGAATATAAGTAAGAAAGATGTGAGGGATTTTACTGATTAAGTTCATACCTAGGCTTGGGGACGACGTAACGATAAAGTGCCTCAACAGTTCTTTCAAAGCAAGAAAATTTCATCATAGTATAAGGTATCTGTCTTAGCCACAATGGAGGCAGACCTTTATAGAATCTAAAACAAAAGAAAATTTATATATTGTTCATAGAAATTTTATCAAAGTTTAAATATGCACATCATACTAACCCTCTGACTCCTTCTTCTTGTAGCAATTTAGGAACACCTTCCCTAAGTGTGTTTGCCCAGCCTGGATTAGTTTGAATACGAACTTTAACAGCCTCCATAGGTGCTAAAGCAATATCTGCAAAAAATTCTGCACTTGCTGATGCTGCAAGGTACAATGATGTTCTCCAAGTATACGACATTTCCTAATGAATAAGATGTTTTGAGTTTAAAATAAAATCATTGATAAGTAGGAATTTGATTGCAGTTATACTTCTCCTATAATATTGCCATAGAATATCTTGAAAACTTCATAAAAACCAAATTTACAAAGCCCTTGCATGGAATAACCAATAAAAGTGGGTGCCCATCCTTTGGCAAGACCTCGAACGCCTTCTTCAGCAACAGTAAGCTTGAAAGCATAACCAAGACTCTTATATTTGACTGGATCAACTTGGATGCGACATTTTACAAGATCAAGAGGTACAATGCCAGTATGAGTTAAACCACAACTCAATATACCCCAAATCCACATAGAGCATAATACTTAGCATCACCAAATTCACAACTGTACTCATCTAAAAAATGATCGTAATTGTAATTATCTAATTATCTGAGAATTCATACAACAAGTTTTGTCTTTACAATCATTTGATTTCGTTTAACTGATCATCACAACACACAAAATGATATATAAATATAATATACCTGAGGGCGACGCCGCCATGTTGACTGGATTTCCATTTATCCGTAAACATTGCGCGGGTTTAGTTGGACTAGAAAACGGACTATTCTTTGCTGTTTCTAGCAGACTCGAAAACATACTTTTTTTATAACAAACTTCAATTCTGCTAGATTTTTCAAAGGAATTTGACTTCTACCGGTATTTGAATCGTCAGACGCCGCACACGCAATGAACTGTGGACTTTCTCTTCAAAATTATGACGTCAGTCAATATCGTCTTTCCACGTTCAACATAATATACAAACTTTGGTTTGTAAAGTTCAATTTAAAGCCTTAAAATTGTGAAGAAGAACGCCAACAGTTGAGGCATTTAAGAGAAAGATCACATTTCATTTAAGGTAAACGTATTTGTTTGGTTTTGAACTGTTTCTGTTATCGAATATGGCGGCGTTTCACAGCAGGACAATATCAGTTGTCCTATTGCCTTGCTCAAACTTTGTAAAGTCTTTTGTAGTCGTTTTCTGAATTTCGTATCTAGCTTTTCATATTTTTACTTCTTCATTGTAAAGTTTTTTTAAACAATTTATTATGAAATAAAACTTTGGAAGACGAGAGTTATCTGTTGACAGAGCACATTTATATCAATATAATTTAGAATTTACGTTCAAAAACAGAAAGAAAACGCAAACAGGAATATGATTACGTTATGCGTCGGCTTTTGGTCAGGTTTTCGGGCTTAAAAGTGTGCACTTGAGAGAAAATTTGTAGAAAAGTTGAAAAAATACATAATTTTCAGATTGAAAATGGCGCCATTTTCGCGGCAGTTATCTCCTTGTGCGTTATCAATAAAAAACAAAATCGAAATAGTTTGAATCTGAAACATGAAGATATTTTTGGCCTTCAAGGTATAGCTCGAAAATAAGAGTTAAGAGAAGTCCCAGAGCGTTATTATTAGTAATAAAAATGAGGGGATTTTTATAGGTAGGGGACGTACCAAAACTTTATGGGAGTAAGGTAGTAAAGAGTGACGTTTGTCAAAGTAAGGGTCTAAGTGCCTTCTTCAATCAAATATTTCTTTAGGAGAAGCTTCGAACATAAAACTAACAGTAATCAATTTTTATTTCAACAAGGCCATTATTTTTGTCTGCAATCTCTGGAAATGCAATGAATGGAATTAATTTCCTAAAGAAATGTATAATTCTGCAGAAAAATTTGCATTGTAGGATTAAAAGATCGGCGTGCCTTCGTCTAGTGTATAAAATGATAATTATTCTTTTCTCAATAAAGCGTGAAGATATTGTTATTTTTTATATAGAAAGAAAGCGACGATGGATTATAATAATCATTTTATCGTGGTTGCAATAAACGAGCGACTTGTTCTTTATCAGTCTTACATATACACAAGTATATAGAGGTGATAACAGGAAACGAAAATTCAGGTGTGATACTTATCTTTGTTTTTATGACTGTTTGTGATTTAAAAGTTGCCGGTGCAATTAAAACATTTGAACAATTGAGCAGTTAAAACATTATGCCAAATAAAATGGCAAAATATGGCGGATTCGGTGTTTTAAAGATCATAAAGTCTAACTTCCTTTACAAGCCGTTTTTTTTGAAATAGTTTAACGAATAAAACAATGATAGGATGAATGGAAAATTTGATGAGCCTGTTATTTTTTTGTGATAATACTCCATGTGACAACGTTAAATAAGCTTTCCTAATATTTGGGACATCGTAAAAAATAAATTGTCATTGGTAGCAGATTACATAAATATGCTCAGTTTGATTTAGTTCATTTTTTCGTAACATGGCTATAGTATCTATAAAATAATGGTAATAAGGCCATCTCTGTGTCTGTCAGGTAGTATAATCAATTTCTTTGAAATAAATTGTTTTATTGATTAATAAATATGGATGTAACTTTATTGATGCGCATCTGTCAACTAAGGTTTTGTTTTATATGATCATTCGTTTCCATGTAATCATTAAACTGTTATTAAGTATACATTAAATGTGCGTTAATATCTTTTTGATAAGAAATCTAAATTAACAACATATTGTATGCTTTTATATTTTTTGCATAACGATTATAGAGACCATATTATAGGAATATTCCATTGTATTCTGTTGATATCAATCAATATTGTCTAATAGATAAAATAAAGGCAATTGCGTATACAGGGGCAAAACTAGAACGCTAATTGGGTGGTGAATATTCACACATTCAGCTCTACCTTTCTGATTTCTTTTGAAATTAAAATCGCCAACAAAAGAAATATATGAATATATGAATATTAACCCCAATTAGCGTTCTAGTTTAGCCCCTGTGCGTGCAATACATTACTCTACTTTTCCGTCTAAGAGTTCAACACATCGTGTATTTTTCTCATGTGTTTTTTAAGATCAAAGTTCCTACAAAATCCTTTACCACATTTTTCACAAGTAAAAGGTTTTTTCTCTTCATGCGTGTGCATATGAAAGGCAAGATTATAAACTTGATGAAATGCTTTTCCACATAAATGACATTGAAATGCTTTAACTCCGGTATGAGTTAAACAATGATTTTTATAGTTACCCTTTTGATGAAAACCTTTACCGCAAATATCACAGACGAAAGGCTTATAACCAAGATGAATACGCATATGAGTATTGAGAGTTGATGAACGGTTAAATGCTTTTCCACATTCTTTACATTTGTGTGGTTTTTCTTTGGTATGAATGATCTTATGTCGACAGAGAGTACTTGCTTGACGAAATCCTTTTCCACAGACTTTACATTTGAATGGACGGGCGCCAGTATGAACGGGCATGTGACGCGTCAAATTGTAATGAGCATTGAAAACTTTTCCACATATATTACAGGGGAAGGTTTTGCGACGTTTCGACTTTTTTTCTTTTGAGTATTCTTCACATCAGAGACCTGATCTTGTGCTTGAGAAGGTAGATCATGACTTCTTGAGAATAGAGGTAGAGCTACAGGCTCTGTTTCATCACTTCTAGTTGGCGAAGGAATGATGACATTTGATGACGGATTACGACGGACATCAACAGTACTTTGAGATGAATTTCTGAAAAATTCAGGGTTTAAGTATGGCCAGCTTATATCTAATGGATTGAAAATTTTCGCCACAGGACTGTTCATTCGTTGTTCATAAGGAAATATGGGGTGGAAAAGGTTTAAGTTTAGTGGTTTTAAAACGTCTTTACAATCAATGGTCATTTTTTCTCTTCGTTGTCTTTCTGCTTGTTCATAAGAGGTTGTATCTAGAGAAATGTTTAAGATAATATTTTATTACCATGATGTATGTTCATCAAAATCGTTCTTACATTCTCATATTCTCTACTAAGTAGCAACCACGCCTTTTTTCTCATATTTATTGTATCGTATGTACAGGTATTATCATTTAATTAAAAAGAAATAGAGTATTACCTTTTTCTATATTAATATCATGGCTTTTCTTTCCTCGAAGTTTCACTAAAAATGATCGTGGCATATTTCTTCCAGATGAATACTTTGGGGTCTTGAACTGGTAAATTATTGATTCGATAGTTTCGATTGCCTTATCTACTTTGAGATTATCTAATATCTTCAATCTTCCTCTTTATGTCTGCTTGCTGATGTCAGCTTCACTCAGGATGCTCAACTCGTTAATTCTTTCTAACTTTACTTAACTCGTTTATGATGCTCACTCTTAGACAGTCTAGCTTGTTATGACTTATTCCGATGGCGCGTGCGATTGATTAAGAAAGCGTGCGTATTTTTGTTCACATATTATAGAGCATTTCAATTGGACAAACAATAATTATTTATAATTTATGCACACGCGTGTCGCCTGAAGGGCAATCAAACAATCCGATTATACTTCCATACAAAAAATGCACGCTGTTGATATTCTCTCAATTAAGCTACAATTGAGACAGTATATTGTTAAAGTTTTTTGCTTGGGGACATATATTCTTAGCTTCTTTGAAAATCAAGTTTTTTGAAAATCGTACGATGTGAAACAAATTTGTTAAAAGGTTTTTGCATTTCATAAATAATAGAAAACATCTATACAGTCTTTTTGTCTTTTCTATGGAATTTCTTATTTTCATAAATACAGAGTATGGCTTTTATTTTGAAGCATTGTGCAAGCTTAATGCTAAATCAATGTCAACTAATTGCTTATTTACCCCAAAATCTTTCTAAATATTTAATGTTCTTGATATAAATGAGATATAAAGAATTACTTAATATTGGTTGAGTATCACCCCTTTTAACTTTGCTATTTCCCAGAGAATGTGAGCAATCATTAACGCAAAGCAAAACATCAATAATTGCACTTCATTAATTTATATCTTGGGCTTTAAGAGAGCACCAAATATATAACAAACATAGCTAAACGCCAATCTGTTTATTTCACGAATCAATTTTGCATTATCCGTAGCTAATTGCCAGTTTGTTCAATTTAATATTTTCATTTTCTCATGTACGAAGGAAACTCGAAAGAAAATTACCTTTGTAGCTACGTTGGTTTCTTTACATGAGTAAGCTAAGTTAAAAAGAAGAATTTAATGTGCTGTAGCTATTGCCCTACATGATGTTGTTGGGAAAAATTACCCCCATCCTTTTAAATATTTATGCTCATCAATTTCATGCATGAGATAAATTGTGTTTAGCTTTTGTATTAGCTAAATGGCATAAAGAATAATCTCAACAAACTCTTTCTAATGGAAATTTCAGCCATAACCAAAGTTTTTTCTCTTATCTACATTATGACATTTTCTACACTTTTTTTTTACATTGCTTTCAAGTTCCAAAAACCAAAAAAGCTTTTTTATTATTTATACATCAATCATGCAGCTATATGTCTAACATTGATGCTCCTGTTTTACTGTTCTTTGAGTAGTTTTACCAAATTTTATGATTTATGTAAGCGCCAACAAATCTTATTTTTTTGTGCATTAAATCTTAATTCTTTAAAGAATTCAGCATATTGTAATAAAATTACACCACATAATGATGTATTGTACATGTTGTGCATTGTTGAACGGCTCATTGCGCAGGCATTGTCATAAAGCAACTTATCTGCACTTGTTGAGAGCCGGCTGCAGCTAATGTTTTTATAAAGAAAATGTCCAATTCTTCAAAACGTTAGATAATATAATTTATTGCAAAAATACTACTTTTGTCTACTTTATACAAAGAGCTTTACTCATAATCAGTGGGATGCTGGCAGTGTACGAAAAATATATCTGTGTAAATATGTCTCTTTACTTCCTTGAGTACAATTGATGGCTCTTGACTCGATCCAACGATCATTGTCCTTGAATCTGTTAAGTTTTGTTGGTTGCAATTCTTCCATCGCAAATAACAGATCGTGATAGTCTGACAGAATTTATCATAAAAGATCAGGCAACAAGAACAATGTGCTTCAAATACACGCGTTTGATAACCGCAATGATGTAAATAATTTATCTCTTGCCAGTTTAAATGCTTACGATTGTAGACGTTTGGGTATGTGTTGATATGAAACAGATATACAGTGGGGACAGTTGATATAAGGAGAGATACAAATACAATAGTAGCACGCGTTACACAGTATGTTGTCTCTATAAACATTTAGTGCACGAGAGCTAAATAACCCCCTGGAAATCTCATCACCTGCTGAAACTTTATTAAATATGAATGCCTCGACACTCTTGTATCTATAAATGTGTATTTACTAAAGCTTCTTTTTGAAGGAACAGTTGATCACTTCATTTTTACTTACACAATAGGGAATTCCGCCTTAAATCTTTTCCTAAACGGTTTATTATGATGCTAATATTTAGAATAAGAATGGGCCTGTTCCATTACGAGAATTTCTTCAGAAATACGAAATATGGAAACTAGGTTTGTGGCTAGCGGTACATTTGCCACAGATTAGCAGCTATTATTCCAATGTATCATCACCTTCATTGTGCGGCATATTTCAATCTTTAATAATATTCATTATCATTAATCAAACAGTACAACGTTTCTCAAGTTGGGACATTTATCTTACATATTTCCAATACTTCTGTAATTCCATTTCATATTTACGACATATGCTGTCTGATTTAGCGAAAATGTTACGTGCAAAAAAATGCTGATATTTTTCGCAAGTATTCATTAAATTACGGCATTGATATTAAGCTTTATTACAACAATTTACTGCAGGACACTTATAAACTATAACTACAGGAAAATCAAATAAAGCAATACCATTTGTCGAAATTGGTTTAAATTAATAATAAGTGACCGACATTTTTATAATACATGTCTCTCACAAAGCCATTGCTTTCTTGATGACATACGCATCAAAACATTTACCGAAAACAGTTAATTGATAATAATGACAAAAATGCTTTGGCAATAAATTGATGTAATGAATCCCACGTTGCTAACCTCACTATTGCTATATTCCTTATAGCGATCTCTACAAAATCTTATAGTTTATTTTTAATTTGTTTTAAGTAAAAGTTTCCACAAACTTGAAATGCTCACAGTCTATATAAAATATATGTAGAAGTCTTTTTTTACAATTTTGTTTCTTTTGTATATATCTAACTTATATAAAATTAACCTATCAAAGAAAAAATCACCGAACATAATATAACACTGAATGAGATAATTCAATTATCTTTTAACTTTTGTCTTGTCTCCTACAATGAATCATTTATCCTAAGAAAGAACACCTGCACGCTTGGAAAAATTGCTAAAACAATATTTAAATTTGCAGTAGCTGAAGAATTTGTTAATGTCAAGAGTATATATCGAGATAAGATAAACGACGTATAGTCATTGTTAAACGATGATAACAGACAAACAAGCAGACATCAAGTTTTGGTAATATTAGTAAAGCTGTTCTGTGTAAGGGATAGCATGATAATATTTAGCAAATGCATGGTTTTGGTGTAGCAAATGATTTTCGGCAAGTTTTAAATATGGTTGCAATTATCTGTTTTTTAACGTAGCTACATATGACATTTTGATCATATTTTAATTGCTTACACGAGTATATCATAAAAATACGTAAAACTCAACATATATTTTGTCACAACATTTCATTTTGAAGTCCTTAGTTTACTTGAAGGCAATATCTTATAACGAACTTAAGAAAAATTTAAGACAAACAAGAAGCGTGAGGAGCTATATAATCTTGTTGGCAAACGTTAATTGTGTCCCACATTACCCCCCTGCGTCTATTAATGAATAGGGTCACGTGGCGTTTATTCATCTCCTGTTCTCCTCTCTATGGACATCCAATTATTTTAGCCATGCTATTTAATTTGTTATTATTTACTTACAACAAATGGAAAGTGTAGTTACTCTCCTTCAACTATGCTCAAGTATTTTGTTGCACATTTACGGCTTAATGAAGAATTGATCCGATTTTGCTTGCCATAAATATTTCAAGACCAAATCCTTTTGTAGCTACATTGCTTTTTCTCTTTTGTTTTTATGTGTTTCTAAGGTCTTCCCAAGTTTTGCTTAATCAGTTATATATTTCATAGTTAAAGGTTTTATTTATTGAATAATTTTATTGCAGCATCAAAAACCAATATAATATACACATACTTACATATACTTGTCACTTTACGTCACTAACGAGAAAAATTATACATTTTCATTCACGCATAAGCATCGTTTGATTGAAAACGCGTAAACATTTAAAAAAGTAAATAACTTATAATATTGTGAAAAAATACATTTTTGCCATCGTAATATACTGATGATTTACACCATATACTAATTTATGTAAGCCATTTTTATGATTGTATTATTTGAGAAGGTTACTGACAAAACAGAGTTTCTTCAAAGTTCCGCTTGCATTATTAGTTAAGCAAAAATTGAATGGCTTTTCCTTATGTATAACCTCATTGAAATAATATAAAAAAGCCATAGTTTAAAGAAACCTACTCTCAATGTGTGCTCGTGAGATACGTATTATCTGACCGTGTTATTCATTATCATAAAAAATCGTGTTAACCAAAGAGATTTTTTGTGTAGTTTGATTTCCCACATTGCCCTGCACGTGTCTAGCATGTTTTTTGTACAATCCTAGTGCACGAGTTTCCCATTGCTAAGTGATCTTTCTCTATACCTGCGCAACGACATTCCTGGGCGTGGTTTTCTGAAAAAACATGCTTAAAAACAGTATTTTATACATTGTTCATCTGATGAATTTACTGAACATGTGCTCACATTTACCGTTTCCTAGTCTATTGTTTCTCTTTTAAAAATAAATACTGATTCTTTCAAGGTAAGTGTTTGGCATATGTATAGTCCATTTTTAGAGGTGATTGTGATGCAAAAATTATTTTATCCGGGACAACGTACGTCGCTCGTTTTGTAATCTTACTTAACAATGTCGTTTATTCTGGCATTTTAACTTTTTTCTCATTTTCCTTCTTCAGTTTTTATGTACTCCTCTATCTTCTTACGAACTTCAGTTAACGGTAGTTCACCATGACGTAATATTTGGTAATGAAATTCCCGGATGTCAAATTTTTTCCCTAATTTTACTTTGGCTTTATGTCTGCATTGTTCAAAAGCATCTTCGCCGACCATGTAAGCTGTTCCTTGACCTGGACTACTTTGTAATCTGGTAATTTCTTTTTGAATGATGTCTCCTTTATCGAGGGCGTATTTTTCATAAAGAGTAACTGCCTCTTGTCGTTTCATTCCAAAGTAATGAAGACCAACGTCAACCTTTGCACGTAGAGCTGAGAGGATCTGAAAATAAGAGAAAAATAGTGAGGTAAAGTTGTTCAAAGGTTGTTTAAATTTCCTTTTATCTGCTGTTTTGCAGCTTTTTTGCCATTGAGAGGGACTGAGTAAGAGAGATAGAAGTGTTCAAAGATTCTTTCTATTGGTATATATCTGATGTTTAATTATTTCATGAAAACAAAAAGGAGTTAAAAAATAGAGATTTTCAAAAGGTCATTCATATTGACTGATACCTGATGTTTAATCATTCCATATCTTTCCATATCATTCATGTACATCTTCATATCACGATCGACAACACTGTTTTCGACATAGGTTGCCCATCCTTCACTAAATGCGGCAAAATAAGTATTTCTTGAAGCCCATCGCCGTAACTTGTCACACTTTATAGGCATATTTTCCTTCACTCCTTGAACCTGCAATATATCATGTTATTATTTAAGAAATTATTTCCATCATACATCTTTTGTGATCATTTCATTACTTCAAGATGATGTCCTGGATACGTTTCATGTGCCATCACGCTCAACTCTTCATACTTTGGTCCTGGTCTTTCCAAGAAAAATGGAATATAGATTTTAGCGAGAGAAGAGCATTTGACATTTCCTTCTCCATAACTGTAAAAGGCATTTGCTGGTGTGTAGGCAAATGCCATGGTTGCTTTACATGACGGCATCACTGTTTTTCTTCCTTTCACGTAAAATGCCAAATGGATCTTATCTTTGAGACGTTTTAACTTCTAATGGAGGAATATGTCAAATAGAATTTAGTATGGTTAGAATAACGTTGGTTGTTCCACAATTTTAAGAATAAACTGTGGCCTCTTAGCTACCTGTTTAGCAGAACGGAGCCATTTATTCATCGCCTTAAATCGTCTAGGACAGTGTTTCTGTGCTGAAGCATCATCATAACATTCCAAATATGTTTGTTCCAATTTTCTTGTTTTATTGCCATTATCATAAAAGAACTGTTGTGTTTGAAGATGAACTCGAAATTTTTCTATTGCTTTACTAACATTTTTTTCTGACATCAGGGATTTTGCGATGATTTTGACCTGCAATTTATTGTTATCAAAATCACAAATCATTTATCATTCACTTACCGAAAAATAATCATACCTTAGGAAAAAGGCTTTTTAACTTGTCATCTGCCATTTGATTCACTTCATATGTCGTGATGTTGTATGTCGTAAAATGGGAGAGCAATGCTAAATATGCATTTTTGCCATTAAATTTCTTCCCTCCCGGTAAATATCCCGTTGTTACATCACTGTGGTTTGCTACACCATTATTATAAACATAAGGCAGCGGTAAAGAGGCCAATCCACTGACCAGCTCACTTGGTGGACAATGCTCTGAATAATTGTCTTCTAAAAACCTACAAATAATATTGGTCATTTTATCATAAGTTTTTGAACAGTTTTTAAAGATAAATATGCTTCATTCTTACCTAATATAGTCGTGCAATGATTTTCCAACGTTCTCAACCAAAACGTTTTTGAGATGTGACATAACTGATATTTTGTACTTTTTCCACCATTTTTCTTTTTCATTCAATTGCATTTTGAGCAAGATACTTCCCTCGAACGTTTTTACCTCCTTCAAAATTCCTGAATGGAAAAAAAATTTAATAAAAATTGATGTGAAAAGATTTAATATATATTTCGAAATATTAAAGTAAAAGTTATTTGTTGTTTTTCTCCATATATAACACAGTTTAAACATCAAAACAATATATGTCATCGTTCTTAATTGCTTTTTTCAAATTTCTTTCAACAGCTGGTAAAAATATTTTATAGTGTGCTGGTGTCATAACCAAAAGCTGTTAAAACAAGAAATGATTTATTTAATCTTAGGTCGTTCAAAAATTTTGTCAAAAGTTTAATAATCCATTTAATAATGCAAGTGTCTTTCAAGAGCTATTTTTTTATCTTACGTCTGGCAAGTATACAAAAACACTATGTCTGTCTTGGCATACTATAACAGTGATGACAGATGACTGGTCATGTCTATAAACTAACCAATTTTTCCATGTTTGGCAACGTGAACATGAAAGTGTTTAAAGTTTTGTAAACCAGCGTCACACGCTTGTTTAGGCAACACTATGCCTGCTTTGATTCCATTTTTAAGATTTCGTATTTTTTGTTGATACCCTTCGGCACATTTTTTCATTAAATTTTCCATGAGCTCAACGTCTTTTACTGTCTGTGGATGAAATTTATGTAATTCGCTCTCCAACGATGGTAGCATGTAGCAACTAATTTGCCAGCAAAAGATATTTGGTCCTAACATCCAATCTCCAATTTCGTAGTTGCTCTCATACGGCATTACATGTCCAAATGTGCTTTTCAGAAATTGCTTGAAAATTTCCATTGTTAAACTTTCTTCTTTTGTTAACTCCAGATTTGCAGAAAGTTTTTCAAGGTTTTGAAGCAATTTATTTGCTTCTTCAGATCGCTTTTTGTACAATTCTGGAGTAAAATTGAAATATGAAGGATGAATTACCAGGTTTCCGTCGTTATTCTTTACGAAAGCAGAATATGGATGAAGCTCTTCGTATTTCTGTTTAATCATGTGATACAACTCGCGCGCTTCTGGGTTCTGCTGCTTTGTCATATCACTACATTCTATGAGATTTTTGGTATTGTTATTCAGGATTAATGGTAAAAATACCGTTAGTAAACACAGAAATAAAACGCAACATATGATACAAAACACAACAGATAACTTCTTCTTTATTTGTTCCTTTGTTCTTTCTTCTTCGTCTGCCGGTATCTCATTCACGTATTCATCGTCGTCTACCGCTAGCATATCCCTTGAGCCATACATTTTCTCGTCCCAACAAACTTTCGAAATGGTTTTGTCACAGGCTATCATTGCCTTAAATAGACCAGTGCTTATATATGTAAATACATTCTCAAGATACTTAGCATTCAATTTTGATTGATTTAATGAAAGCAGAATAACTTAAATCTTTCAACAGTAGCTTAACCTGCTTTGCCACGCAAATACTTCTGTGTTTATAAACGATGAAAACAATCCATTTCTGATGAAAATAATAATAATCATTAAAATTTATATAGTAAGGCAGTAAGACTATAGTAAACTAACTATGTTACAGTAATTTGTGAATCTCTTCAAATCAGTTATTGCAGTTGTTTTTGTATCCATAGCTATATATAATGCACAGATGAAAGGTCATTTTTTTATACACGTGGAACAAAGCGTGTAATTGAAGTTCATTAAACTTGATAATGAAAAAAATGTCATCAATCATTATAACACTATTTTTTCTTCACTCATCTGGAAGCAAAGGACACACGTACTGACCATTTATGTATTTTACTGTAAAATAAAATCTATATCAATACTCTGAGACAGTTATCTACCGATATATGATCGTACCAAACGTGAAATTATGAAATTAGAGAAAAAGTTTGTTTTTACGTATATTTAAATATTTAAATGTACAAATTTGAGAATGCTACATTCAATTATGTCCATAAGGATACTTGCATGAATATTACATTAATACCATGAACTATTTATAGGCAGAAAATCTTTTCTATTTTCTTGATTTAAAACAATTCTTCTTACTAATGCAATACTTTATATAGATGTAAACAATAAGACATCTTTTCTTGGCAATAGCGTAGTCAGCCTGAGGATTTATGTAAATTCTGAAAGATTACCATTATTCGTCATTTTAGAATTTTATTGTTCTTAAGGTCAGTGAACACTAAAATATTTTCATGGCAGAAGTAAAAAGTCAGGCTGGCTACGTCACTGTTAGTTGGGGTTTTACCCCAGCTATTTCAACCTGAATTTAGTGAGGCATGAAATGCTTAAAGTATTGAGATAGTCCTGCTCGTATAAACTTAACAGATTATTCGTGTTATTAGTGCTCATGTGATCGATCTCGTTTGGATTTCACTAATCTCCGGCCTTTGTTTAAGTGAACAGTATTAGATAATGCTTTGATAGCTGCTGTTATTTCTTCTCCACATGGTTTTATTTGATCTGGGGGGATGAGAAAAGCATAGCTTCCATTGAAGTGTGGTCGTAGTTCAACTCCGTACGAATACTGAATATTAAGTACCCCATAAGTCCAGTCTTTTGCACTTCCAGAGCTTTGGTCTTTGAGAGAAAAAGATAAGTTGATGAAAGATTTGAAAGGTATTTCAACGCAATCATTTCTAACACTTACATATGATTTGCGATGAGGGTGCAGGTTTCTCAAAATGAGCTCCATTTTTACTTGTTTTTATCGCTTTCACTGCGATGTCAGCCACACGTTTCTATTCAAGTTTATTTTACGTACAATTAAAATGATGAAATATGAAGCATCTATGTTATATCTTTACCACTGTACCATTTCTTTGTAATGCTCAGGTTTCTCACTCTTATATCCCCATGGAGTCATCCAAAACTGACTGTAACTATGGAAACCAATATATCCCAACAAGTGGCAACGATTCTTGTATAAATATCTTGCGACATTTCGTGTCTCAATTTCGGAGAATGGGTGTGTTCCACGATAAGATGACGAACATGGATTGACACTTGATCCCGGTTCTGACATCGAAAATTATGCTTAATCATACTTTAAAATTTTTTTTTCATGGTTTTTTTGTCATCATGTTTTTTAAATACCTCCCCACTTGTATGACCAGTTCCTGTTTAAATCTGTTCCATTACATTTGCTCATATTGTTTGGTTTTCGATTCTTTCTCCAAAATCTTCCTTCCTGCAACAATAAAACACAGTCAGTGGCATACAAGACTTGATAATTTCCACGAAGACAGCAATTGTTCAATAATATCCACCTTTGTCCATGAATGTACATAGCCATCTACATTAAGGACGGGAACAATAACCCAGTCAATTCTGTTACACATTTTATACATTTTCTTGTTTTGACCAGCATTTTCACGAACTTCTTTCAGTATCTGTAAGATCGAAAAAATTACAAAAATTATTGATAAGTTCTATAATAGTTTGTATAACATAAATTGACCATTCTCTTTACTTCTTTAATAAGCCACATGCAAGTAGCTGGTGAAACCCATTCTCTGGCATGTGTACCACATTCCATGAAGAAGATTTTCTTGTGCTTCTTTGAATTACCTGATATCTTTATATGTGGGACAAAATATAAATTAATACACTTCTTTTACAACTGACGATTTGTATTTTTTTTCTTACTTTTATGGCTTTCATGTCACGTTCTTCGAATGATTTCCCAAGATTAAACACCGTCGCAAATTTTGGATACTGAGTTTGAATATTTTGTAATTCGGCGTGTATCTAAATATGATTTAATGGCATGTGAGTCTACTTGTTTTCTTAAAGATATCAAGGACTTGTGATTGGCACAATTTATTACTTGGAGTTTTTCCGTCTATGACGTTTTTGGGGTTCGTCGTTGAGTTTATGAAAAAATTATAGATAGAAAATTGAACCTCATCTAGTGGATGGAATTTCTCATAATCATATTCCCGATTGTTATGTGGATGTTTCGGTGTAGAAGGTCTTTGACGACGGAGAGCTTCTGTGACATTATCGATCAGCACTGAATACGCAATACTTTTTTCAGCAAGATATTTTTTCATTATTGAAAGTTCTTTTTTCTTTGCGTAGAAATCTGCTGGATGATTTGGTCGAAATGTTGGCATCCATGAATCCAGCTATGATAAAAATAACACTTGTAGTTACATAAATGCCATCTCTTCAAGTCATGCTGAAAATATGTCTTAGATTTGTTTATTTTTTTATGTGTTCTAACTATTTCCTCGTCAAATCATGTTTATTCTGTTGCTTCATCCAATCATATTCATTCTAAGTACTTGTTCATCCAATCATGTTCTCTCTAGAATTGCTTCTTTAAATTTGAGAAAATTGTACTTAATCATCAATCTTTCATGTGAGCACAATGATAAACTTACCATTTCTAAACCTGGTTCTTTTTTTATATGCAGAATATCTTGGACTTTATATTTCGTATCTGGCCATACCCGTAATACTTGATCACTAAAACAAGTTTAATTTGATGAAGAGTTTGACCTTGGCTTTCCATCTCATTTGACATATCACATTTCATTTACTAACACCATAATTAACAATTATATCTATATCACATTGTTAATCTTTTTTTGCGGTTCTCAAGTTAACGTATGACGTTATCCAGACAGGCAGGCGATATTTGTGACGTCATGCATGCGATACACCTACTCAGTGGAAATCTGTTATTGTATATGAAGCACAAAGGAAGAAATAATCTTGATAAGCAATAATGAAATGTTCAAACAAATATTGACGAAGGATCAATCATTCACAACACAGCTGGAATAACCACGCACACGACAGCTCAGGTCAATTTTTTATTTAGCCACATGAACATCAAGATATTTTTATTTTTAATTGCATTTACTTTTGTGCAAGGTTGAAATATTTTCACACCGTACCATGTTACAAATTGTTGAAAAATTTGTTGATACTATAGTACGTTGATGATTATTACAAAGTCGAAAAACACATCTTAACGTATTTTTAAAATTACACGATTCATATCAAATTTTCCCTCATCTTATGTTGCAGTTTTACCTTATCTTTCATTCTATGTGGGTGATAAATATTTGTTATGTGCACATGTTAATCAAAATGGCATATTCAAATGAACTAAAAGTCTTCTTTCTCCCTGCACAGAACAGGAAGTTCGAACAGTTAACCAATTGTTCAATTGCTCGTGGAATGCCATTTTTTCAAAACTTAAATTGTTGCAATCTTTTCGATCAGATTGTGAACTATGTTCTGGTATTCTTATCAAAATATCGAATTATGTCACAAACAATGAAAAGGATTATAAGATACCGTGGAATGTTGAGTGTGTGCGAGTTATAAAAGTGATCATAATGTTAGATTTTTACTGATTCCTTCGCCTGTACATTATGCCGCCTTTTATCTTCTATCTGATTGATCGTATCAGAGAAGTCATATTAGTGTTATCGTCTACTTACATTTTAGGAGCTTTTGCAGAATTTATCATGTCAAATATGTATGTACCCATTTAAATGTAGTTTATGGTTTGACAGCAATATTGCCTTCCTAAAAGTTCGAGTTCAATGCAAAATATGTTTTCTTTCGACACTATGTTTCAATTTCACTTTTCTCGAAGATACCGCATCTAATTGTGTACTTTAATTTGGCATCGTAAAGTGATGTGGGGGCTGATTATATGAATCGTCAATAAGCAATGTTTGTTAGTTTTGTTTATCATATAAAGATGTTACTCTCCTTATTTGGTTCTCAAACATGTTAGAAAGTTTGCATAATAGTGTTGATTCTCACTAGTAATTAAGAATGGACATTTTTCTTTATCTTTTTCCTCTTATAAAAAACAGATGTATGACTGATGCAAATACTTTTGGTCCTCTTCTACTACATATTAAAAATATTACAATTTTCTACAAATTTCCTCTCATTTTCTGTATAAATGACATTGTAATTTAGCTTTTGCTGCATCTTTATGTAATCCTAAATCACGCTAAAACTCATGCATCAATTTTTAATAAGCTTTCAATTAGTTATTTTAATAATTTTTGTCTCGAAATGTTCTAAAATATTTTTAAACGATGGTATAAAGGAATAAGCGTTAAAGAGCAACGTTGGAAAAGTAAATTTATAATAATAAAATTTATATTTTATTTAAAACCTAGATTTTGGAAACATAAAAATAATTTCTCTTGAACTTACCCTTCGTAAAAATCTCCATAAAAGTTTTGAGATCCTGCTAAAACGATAACAAATAAGAAACAGAACAATGATGATAACATTGTGATCTACACTCTTAACTGTTCACTAAAGTTTTCTGTCGTTCTCTCAAAAATGTTTTGAGCTTTCTCAATATGAATGACTTCTTTTATACGTTGACGCCTCGTATGACAGGAAAGACGTCAAACTGTGTTATCTTTTACAAGCTGCATTTGCGCAATATTATTATGCTCATGCAATTCAAGTTGAATCATCTACATAAAGAATGATTTACCATGCAAATAAAATACACTATATATATTATAAGCTATATTGGTTTTATTTTCTCCTAATTTTTTTCCTATTTTTATTGAAACTTTTAATGTTAAACCAATTCGTATGCCGCACTCACGTGCCATAATGCAAGATATTTTTGCTCGCGTAATATTCAAGTGTATGTAACATGATTATGTTACAGCATCGGGGTTCATCCACTGGGTTCATCTTACAACGAAACGGTCAGACTATACGTCTTCCTCATGCCAACTGTCAATCCACTTGACGGTACATCGAGTGCCTATGGCATGATAAGTTTGATAATTATACATTTGATGGGCTACTGAAACGATATGAAATTTTTTACTGGTGATGTATCTGATGATGGTAAAATTGTAAATATATGAGATAGTTACGTCTTTGTTTTTATTTTAATGACTAAATACGCTCATTGTGTTAGAAATTCGTGCTTATCGATTCGCAGCTTGATCGATCTATTCATGTTGGTTTATGCTGTCTTTTTTCCAAAGCTAAGTTAAAGGATTTTGTTAAGGAGGGATAAATGTTTTTTTAACATTCCTCAAAAGTTTTTTAAGTAGGTTAACTTATCAAGTACGTTAACTTGCTGTTTTGAAGCACAGTTGTTTTTGGACAACTTCAATAATTGTATTCATTGCTATCACCTGTTGGGATGTTTCATTGAATTATATTTTCCTGCTTGTTGTATCTCATGTCATGCAGAGATAGCTACTAGCTAGATTGTCTTATTTTTGTCGCATTATATAAGTTATATTAAAGAAATATTTTGCATTTTAAATACTCATTATGTGCACTAAAAATATTATGATGAAACATTATATTTAATAAAAACCCAGAAGGAACTGTGAAAATACGAAGACAGCTGCTCATTTTAATCAACATTTTATCACCGAGTGGGTTCATAGTGATAATTTGCTGTTTGTCAAAAGTCTGCGTGAAACATAGTTTTGAAAGTTGAAAACAGCACGTATCTACCACCACTCTACGTGCAACGCTCGCTCTACAAACAAGCACTAATTTTAGAAATACATGAAATAGACACGTAGTGAATGAAGACCTGTCTTACTGGTTACTTTCCAGTTTTTGCCTTTAATACACACAATACTCGTAAACATTCCGGAAATCAGCAATGATTTTGCCCAATATTGATGAATACTACACACAAGGAAATTGTTTCAGCCTTTCCTTCCTGTTCCCAATATTACAAGACGTAGTAGAAAATTTGACATTTTTTATATGAATCTTATCTGTTTTTCGCAGCATTTCTCGTTATGAAGTCAATCTCGTGATTGTTTAAATTTGGAAGCAATTAGAGAGGCACAAAATTCTAGTTGACTAAAAACAGATTTTATCGTCGCATGGACGATTTAATTTTAGAACATAACAGTTGATCTATCTTTAGGAATTATTTAGAAGAATGTGTTTCTTAATCCTTTTTATTTTGCATCTATGTGAATGATTTATCAAAATATAATTTTCAGGAAACATTTTTACTCTAACAACGACTATCGTATATTTGTGTTGACTTTCTCCAAAGTGCAGTACTAGCTAGGTTTGACTAACTTTCTTTTCACTTGTTTTTTTTGAAATATTTATTGATTGCAATCATTGTATAACTATAGACACTTATTTATTTCTCATTCATCCTAATCTCAGTCTTACAGATGTGATAACTAAATCCCATTACGGTTCTTACGTCATAACTATCTATTGTTACTTTACACAATATCTCTCTCCGGCAGTAAAAATCTCGTTTTATCTTTGTTTTCAAATTCTTTCAAGTACATATGAATATTTACATATTTATTTAAACTTATTGTTTGATATTTATTACATTTAAGGACGGTGACGTCGATTCTCTGTTGTGGAATGACTATTTATGAAAATACAGCCTCTCCACAGTAGCTCTGTCTGCTAACTCATTAAAAGAAATACCTTTGTTTCATAGTCTTTATAACATTGAAACACTCTAGACCGAGAGACTTACAAGTTATTGCATCATATATTTATGGGCAAAACTGAGATATTATTACTTTAATGTGGTAAGGAAATAAGGTGATTAAGTTTACGTGTTACAATTTATGAATTTATCATATTGAATACCATTACCGACATTCTTTTGGCCAGATGTGCAACTATTCTTTTAAAGTGCGTCTACTTTCATACATCCGTTAAATTTAAATACTGAACGTATGTGCATACTTTTTCTTCATTGTGGTGAGAACTTGTTGTTTTTGTCACCATAGATTCCTTTCCTTAAATTTAATTGATCATATCCACCATGTAGCCAGAAAATTTTTTGAATTATCATTCTCAAATAAATTTGAATAAATATTAACACGATTCTGTCGATTCAGCTATCTCATGGGGAACTAATAGAATCTCCTGTAATCATAGGTTATTTATGATAAAAAATTGAAGATAGTAAAAAGGAATAAAATTACTGCGACAGTTTCACATAACCTCCTACTTTGTACTTATAATTCCATTTTTTATTCAGATGAACGCCTGCCATAAACACTCTATCTTGTTTCTGTCTGTCACCACATCCTACCCTTTAGTAATTAAATTATGTCTCCTTAAAAAGATTGTCAGACAAATATTAGATGAATTTGACAAAGTTTATGTAAGTTAACACATGATTTACTCCTCTCCAAGTCTATTTATAGCCAATATGTCACATTAAAAAACTGTTTAACCTTCAAAGTTAGTCAGTAAGCTGGCGTGCAAGTTTTAGTCCTGATCGATATAAATATTTTAAAACGTTATAACTATTCATTTCTTTAAAAATCTGTTTTTTTTGTATGAAGTGAACACAAAAAAACTAACAAAGCAATACGAAAGAAATGTGTTGTTTACTCCACTTAAGAAAGATGATAGTTTTCTTTTCGTATACATATTTAGAAAAATTTAGAAAAAATTTTTATTCCTTAAGGTATTTACATATAACATTAGAAAGATGCGTGAAAAGAAATGTCGCACTTGCTGCTCCTGCGTGATAGAGCAGACAAGTCAACCCATTTTGATCGTCTTTCACAGCTTACCATGCATCTTCTGTGACAAATCTTTTCAACCAAGTCCTGTTATTTTCATGAATGGATAACATAATGAATGTTACTTAAACAATAAATAGCAGATCAACTTTTATAATTAGAAAGTGGATCTCACATAAAAGGTCATGCGCAGTAATGAACGGAACTGACCTTAATTGAAAAGGTGAGATATCTTAAATACCATTACCTTTGTAATTATCTTACCAATCGTCAATAATTTTAATTAAAATCGTCATGAAATCACTCACTTTTTTTCTTTTTCTTTTTCTTTTTGTTATTGATGTCTCAATTGGCGTATTTAAAGTTCATTATGATGGGTATGTGTTGAATTATGTCCATTTTCTCATTAATAATCTATAAAGAATGCTTAAAAATGCGTTCTTTGTTTGTAATCTGATACAAGCCAGCCATGTTGAAAATCAAAACTGTTAATTTATGAACTTAAACTTTTTTATTTTATCTAAATGGAAATGTACTTTGAGAGATCCTTGTTATGAATTGTGCCATACTGCCATTCCTTCATAAACCTCTTTTGTCTCTCAATACTTCAAGTGTCGTATTTATGTACTGGTTTTTCCCTGTCGTAATGTATTTATAATTCTTAATGAAATAGTCGCTATGTATTATACATGTTTTCTAAAGAAATATATCTTTTTAAATTTGGTCCTCCTCCATGGAACAGCAAACGTTCATTGATTGTAACAAGAGTTGCAATTCAAACAATGAGATTATATCAAGTCAGCACCAATATCATCAACTTTAGAATTTCTCATCAACCTAAATAATAAATTGTTAAAAGGCCCACACACATGGCTGTCGTTAGTGATCCTCAGAAATGTTGCGAAATTTTTATGGTTCTTTTTGTAAATACATTTTCACAGCTTAAAGTTAATAAGTTTATATTTATATGTAAGAAAAAACTTGCCTACGTCTGTATCGTGAACATTAACAGCAATTCAGAATGACTTTTTAATTGTTCTCATTCGGTTTAGGCACAAACTGGTTCGAATCATTCCAAGATCTCTAGATACTTTGTTATTTTTACAAAAATTGAACGCTGCATCTTCATCGCTTGAGGTGATTACGATTTGTTGGCGTGTTGCTAAATCAGAGCTGGACTGTTTAATGAAATTTTTGTTATTGTTGTTTTCTCTGCAGCTTGATTTCTGGTCTTATCCAACACGTTTAAACCGAGCAGTTGACATAAGAGTTCCACCACACTATATTGAAGAATTAAATGCAGTCTTACATTATCACAATATATCATTGATTATACTAAACAATGATTTACAAAGACTACTGCAAAAAGAATATTATCCAAGTAACGCGACATCTGATCTTGCTTATGATTCTAAATACCATCCATATTCCGAGGTCTGTTTTTATATACACTTTAGATTTAGACAACGTATGTTTCATTCATTTATCAGTCTTTTTTTTAATCAGATTCTTGAAGAAATGCAAAGACTTGCTCAAGAAACAAATCATGCAAAACTTATAGATATTGGTACTTCGTATGAGTATCGAAAGATTTATGCCATCAAGGTAAAAACTTAAAAAATCTTTAGAATGGATTGAAATAAGTAATGAATACAAAATAATCATTAAACGATTTTAGGTATTTGAAAGAGAACGTGATGCGAAACCAATAATTTTCTTAAGTTGTGGTCTTCATGCAAGAGAATGGTTAAGTCCTGCAACATGCATGTTTCTTGCACGCCATGTAAGGTCATACATATTTAATGATATTAACATGAAGATAACATCATTTTCCTTACAGTTTCGTTTTCTTTCAGTTACTAAGTAATACGACTTCTCTTCGTCAAAATTATACATGGGTCATTCTTCCTGTACTCAATGTTGACGGTTATGAGTATTCCTTTACGACGGTAAAAAATTTCATGTTTTTAGTAAGTGTTATTTTAGCATATAAACTTATTTTGGATAAACGAATAGGAACGATTTTGGCGTAAAAGTCGTTCTGTCGGTAAAGCTGGATGTATAGGCGTTGATCTGAATAGAAATTTTAATCATCATTGGTCTGGTAAGTATTTCTAAATAATGACGTAAGTAAATATCTTTATATCGTATGACTGAGGGTATGTTCGTAGGTAATGATTTGGTTTATTATATATGATGTATTATTTGTATAGGTGTCGGTACAAGTGAAAATCCATGTAACGTTTTATACCATGGTCGGCATCCATTTTCTGAACCAGAGACTTACTCGTTAGGAAAATATCTGTTATCTCATAGGAAGAATATTAAAGTCTTTCTTGATATTCATTCATTTGGTCAATTATTTATGTCGCCATGGGGACATACAACTCGTTATTCTTCGCATTATAAACATACTCATGTAATCAAATATTAATATGAGTTGCTCTTTTGTTTCTCAGTAAAAAGTTTTTGTTAATTTTTTTGACGATATTAGAAACCAATGATGAGAAAAGTTGCAAATGCCATTGCTTCAGTTCATGGAAAGAAATTCATATATGGACCAGCTTCGATTGTTATCTGTAAGTATTCTTCTCTTTAGAAAGAAAAGCATTTTTTAAACTTTGAAATGACATTACTTTCAGATCCCACAACTGGTGATGCGACGGACTGGGTTTATGCATATCTTGGTGTAGTGCATTCATACAGCATTGAACTAAGACCAACATTTCAAGATGAACGAGGTTTTATTGTACCTCCACAGCAAATTGTCGAGTCAGGAAATGAAATACTTAATGGTATAAATGAACTTGTTAGTAACTTATAGATGACTGAGAATGTTAACTGGCCATGTATTATTTGATAGAAAGTTACGCGATTCTCGTAATTTGAACGAAATTCCAGAGTCCTGCTGGAAAAGCTTTTATTGGTCCAATAATTATAAATATCAATATAGTATTTTCACATCAAAATTATTATACATCATCTCTCATATAGCTTCCGTTATTTTATTTTCATAATCATTCATATTAATGGCAATACTATGAAAAGCAGCAAGTGTTTCTTCGGCCGTTGGTACAATATATTTTTTCGGTAAAAGAAAGCCATGTTTACCAGTATCACGTAGTTCAAAAACGTAAGAATATTTGATTCCCATGGAACCATAGGCCCAATCTTTACTGCATCCCGAAGCTTCATCTAAAAAATCCATTTTTGCCTGATTGTAAATGCTGAATTGTAAAACAAATTTCAAAATATTCAGTCAGCTTACATATAACAACAGCACCAGGTCCTGTTTCAAAGTCTGTTCCATAGTAACTTGTCAATGCTTTAACTGCTTTTACTGCAACGTTGTGCTATAGAAGTAAATGAAATGATTTGCAATATTTTTATCGTTATTATAATACTAAGTTTTGTTATGATTACTATGATACATACCAGTTCAATCTTGTCTTTGGCCTCAGCATCTTTACTGTAACTCCATGGATACATAAGTAGTTGACTGTATGAATGAATATCAAGGAAACAAAAAATTTTCTCCTTAAATCTTTTAGTATAGCTTGCAATTGCGTTCACTTCAGGAGAAGAAAACGGAGCTTTTCCATGATAAAGTTCACTGCAAGGATTTTTACTTGAACCAGATCCTGAGTATAAAATTTATGGTGTCAGTATTGATTACGCATCTCTGGTAAAAATATCTGAATTAACGAACCTCCGAATTCGTAATCCCAGTTCCTATTAAGATCAGTACCATTGCATAATGAATTAGGATTTGGTTGACGATTTTTCCTCCACAAACGATCCTTATGAAATAAAACAATATTAGATAAAGAGTCATATAAAGAAAGGAAGTAACCATTTACCTTTTTCCAAGAATAAATATAACCGTCCGGATTCATTACTGGAAAAATAACCCAATCAAAACGATCAACCATTTTCGTTATGTTGAAATTTTTACCGTATTGCATGACCATCTATGAAACGAAAAATAATGTGAATAAAGAATGAAGGAATGAGGAACATTTTTAGCAAAGAACCTTACATTTTCCATAATGTACATACAGGTGGCATGAGATATCCACTCTCTCGCATGTAGACCACAAATAACAACAATTTTTTGTTTGTCATTATTTCCTTTACCGTTTGAAATCTACAGTTATGAGAAGGATTTAAACATGATGTCACTATTTTATTAAGCAAATCATACAACTACCTGAAGACCACGAATCTCTTTTCCTTCATAAGAATTACCAATATTTACTATCGTAGTTCGACCGAACTCGTGCAAGCTATTCATCTTTTGCATAATCTGTACACGAGATAAGTTAGATGTTTTAAAGGCATTTGACTGTAAAGATACACGATCTAATACCTCATCAAAATTATGATAATTTGAATGCCATTCTTCATTATGTCGATAATATCCTTTTTCTTCTTCGTCAAAACTTTTTTGAAGATTATCATTTAATATATGACTCTTGATTTTCCAATTTTGAAAATACCCTTCGAGTTTAAAATAGTCTTCTGGTGTCACATGAATATCAATGTTTCTGGTTCTTGACCAAAAGTCTACCTGAACGAATATAGATTATGAAAATTTACAAGCACTCCTTTTTATAGTGTAAAATGTCAGTAATTCTACCTCAATATTTGGATCTTCTTCCAAAGACTTGATTAAATCGATATCTTGTTTTGTTTTTGGAAAGACACGAACTACTTTATGCCTTAATAAAAGATTATGCCGTTAAAACATTTTCACGAATAAGACGGTTAAGTAGAAAAGGATGCAGGACCAATCTTACCCTTCGTATTTTTTCTGCCCAGATTGTTGTTTTTCTAACAGTTCTAAATTTGAATAACAACTTATCATACATACTAAAAGGCTAATTACATAAACGAGAACTACCTTTACGTTCTTATTTTCCATATTTGTATTAAATGAAAATGATCTTATATGGGACGAAAGTGACAAGTTTGTGTTACACTTATTGACAGGTTGTTGCAAGTTGATCAGTCAAGCAAATATACCGGGGGGTGTGGGGGTGAGAAATGACGAACTTTGACCTCAGTCCTCAATATTGTGTTTAATTGCTTTTAAGATCACATTGTCCTGGAACAATAACGACAGAATGACTGTTTTATTTAAGGCACGAGTCATCTCACAAATGGTTGCAATCATTGAATGTTTGTATTTGTTGTGATTTTCAATTTCCAATAGACTTAGTCATAAAAATTCGTCCTTTCATATTTAGAATTACTTGTCTAAATTCTATATGTTTTTACTATGTGTACAATACACGAACATTTGCTGTATTTTTTTAAATTAATTTTTTTCAAAGTCCAGCAACGATAACTTGTATTGGATTGGTAACTTTTCGCTTGTCCAGTTCACATATTTGAGATCAACTTGTTTATAGATAAATTGTACTTCCGGTAGTGGTGTCATTTCCTTTCTCTTTAGCTGGAACACTGGGCGAAATTCTCAGATTTACAGCCCCTTGAAAACTTAACATTGTCGTGGCCCTGCTATATGGACGCAAAAATCTCATCAAAGCATTTCAAATGTGTGAAATGCGAGTTTAGCACACATTATGATTACTTTGGAAGCAAACCACCGTTTTATAAGGATCTTATGTGAGTATAATTTAGTTTATTTGTATCTGTATTTGTGTCTTAGAATTTTACATGGCTGTCTTTACTTTCGTTGCTATACAATACCGAATTTTGTCTGCTTTTAAATCGACAATTTAAGCCTTAAATAGACATGTTAAGAAAGATGATTTTATAAATGTGTGTGTACATGACCGTAGCCCTATGTTTTGTAGTCGAATATTGATAATGTTTTAGGATAAAAATAAATTTAATTGCGAGAACGTCGTGTCGGTCGGTTCGTTTTTGTTAAAACAAGCTGTCTTTTTTTAAGTTTCTTCTTGAAGTAAGAAATACTGTTCTGAAAGATTCATTTAAAGACTTAACGACTGCGACTTCTAGAAACCATGCAAATTTGAAGAATTCAGACTCTAATATGGCAGTAAAATATTATTAGAAATACTAGTTATTTGGTTGTCAACATTGTTGAGTGATACATCTGTTGTTATTCTAAGGTTTTCATTTGATGTTGGTTTGATCTTGTGCTTGTTTCATTATTAATGAGAAAAATGACCAATTTCAATGTAAATGGTGAATGCCTTAGATTGATTTTCTTCTCAAGGTTTGGTTGGCCTAACTCATTTATGAAACTTTGCAGACAATGATAAGAAAATATAAAAAGGTCAAGGTTTATGAAATGAATTTACGAGAATGAAATATACCATTCATTAAATTCATAAAATAAAATTATCTTTCATTGATATGATAATGTTAGTTGGTAGTGAGTATGTTCATTGGTGTATAAAAATGTGTTCAATCAAAGCATGTTGAAGTTTTTGTAAACACATGTTCATAATTAATTACTAATTCATGGCTTTTACGGTCAATATATGCAGAACACGTCAGCAATATTGCAAGCAAAATAAAATGATTATGGATAGCAGTATTATATTTGGGTTTCGAAATAAATGCTACATGGAAATAAATAAATTACCAAATGTATACTTTAAAACCATGACCAGCCGACAATTTAAAAAAAAAATCATTCATTCTGTCTGAGGATGACTTTGAAATAAAGTCGAAAATTTACAGTTTACTTCTCGTCTTGTTTTGATTCATATTTTGCAATCTCAAGATGTCTTGTTTCTTCGGAATTTGTTTTATATTAAATGTATACTTTTGAGTTGTTTTTTTGAAACAACAAGCAAAAAACTCAGAATTTGTTGGTGTCTTCAGCAAATTGCATTGAGTGTCAAATTTGAGCTGTTGTTGCTTGAGTATGTTCATGAAATTTCAGTGGTTTAAAAAATTTCCAAATACTTGCACTTGTAGCATCTTTCTAATTACTCGCTACAATAGCAGTATGGTCAATTTATTGATAATTTTCTTGAATTTTTTTGGCAATTATGTTCTTGAAGCAAATAATTTATCTTAGATTGCTTGAGGACGCTTATATCATGAAGGACCCCTTTACAATGGAGGCAAATTTTATTGTGCTTGGTGGGCACTGTTCATTTTGTAATATTGCAGTTTGTTGCAATCAGGTAAAAACTAAATAAAGAACATCGTTCATGTAACTGTAACCATCTCATCAAAATACGTAATAAAATTCTTTCTTTCCATAGAAGTGCAGTATATTTTATACCAAAAGAATTTGCTTGGCCTGCTGTTTGAATCATTTTGACGACTTTCCGCCAGCCATTAAACAGGTTTGTGTACGCTGTACAGTACAGAATTCTCTGCTCAGTTGATTTCTACGACAGGCGTTGTATTGATGAAGTTGTCTGATTCAATTTTTTTCTTATTTCTTTGTTCTGTAGGATTTGCAAAAGATTGAAAATTCTGATTAAAATACAAGCTTCGATTGAAGATATTTCAACAAATGTAAGTTTATACTTAAACGACCATAATTTAGCGTTCGTCAGTGATGCGCCTGTGTATATATATGTCAGCGGCAGATATATGTGAAGAACGGAAGTAAACAGTGCGCAGGAAGTGAGATAGTCGAAGTCTTACCAAGAAAAACTTAGATTTACTTGGAAATTATTGAGTACATTTATTACCGGTTGTCTCGTTTTCATGGCTATGTATTGTATGCGAAATAAGATGTCTACAGTGGAAGCTGTTTACACATACATTGTTGTACATATCGCTTCTATTTACTGTAAAAATGTTTCATTGTACAATTTGCGATGTAAAATTAAATTCTGTGGAACAACGACGTGCACATTGCCGTGGCAAAAATCATATTAAGCGCGAAGAAGCAAGGAAAAAAGCAGAAGAACTCGGAACGGACTTTGATAAAACACCGGATCACTGCGAAGTATGTAATGTTCCTTTAACTTCTAAAATGACGGCTATCGATCATTTCCGAGGAAAAATGCATCAAAAAAAGGTGAAGGCACTCGAAGAACAACGTCTCGGCTTTAAAAACTACTGTGAAATTTGCGATATTCGTCTTCAATCGCTGAAAGTTTCTCAGGCCCATTTCAACGGCAAGCTACACAAGAAACAGGAACGAAAGGTTTTATTGAAGGGAAAGAAAGCAACGTTGCAGAGAAAAAATAACTTTGGAGCATCTCAGTCGGAAGATTTGAAACCTGGAATTCAACAGAGAACACCTAAGTTCTCTTCTTCATGGGAAAATCTAACGTACGACAAGGATAGCGAACCTAAAGATATATTTGGAGAATTTAGGTTCCTCTGTAAGTAGTTTGTCTCGAAACTCTGTTGTGATTTCTTTACGGCGGGATTCATCGTTCAGTATTAGATATACCAGACCTCTTTAAAATCTTTTTCTGCTTGCTAAAAAAAAGAAAACTCGATTCACCTGCTAACTTATTCGATGGAAAAATTTTAATGGTTATAAGACTCTCTCTATATTATTCTTGATGCCTGTGTGTAAGATCGAGAAAAATTCACGAAGCTGCTATACTTTCTCCGGTTTTTTTCCATTATCTTTTTCATGAGAACTGTTTTTTTACTACAGATGGTTTAATAGTTTTAGTTTTGTTAATTTTTTCGAGCTTAAAGCTATCTTGCGTTCTTACTATATGGATGCGTTCTGACTGCGAATATAAAAACAGGGCAAGCATGTTGAGTAAGATATCTGCGCTTTTTTATGAAATATTTCAATTTTAACTCTGCCAGCTCGAAGCAAAAAAGAACTATGGGGTACTACTTTCTTCTCAGAAAATGAAAGTAAATTTTCACTTTTATTGTAATGGTGCGGATACATAATTTTACGGAGGATTGAAAGATCTAGGCGTATTCTATGCTGTATTGTGGAGTATTGGTAAAATTATACCTAAGTCATGAGGTTGCTTATAGGGGAAACCTTAAAAATGAGAAATAGAGAGCCGTTCCTTGTGGGTGGCGTAAGCTACTAGCTTTTATACCATTTATGAAAATATGAATTTTTGTGTTACGCGCATTGTGTGTTATACATGTGATCTTTTGTATTCTTTGTGAAACATGTTTATGATGGAAAAGTTGTATAGAAATGTCGTAGAAAATTGTAGTAATAAGGATAAAGTAACAGGATCACTATATTGTATGAATTCTATTGAAAATTGCAACATCATATACAAATAGTTTGCGTCGGTATTTATGTAAAAGGCGTTGTCGCTATTATAGAGGTATACCAATTTCTACACTTTATTGTCGACCAGTCTGTCCATTTTTACCGAAAACATTTGTATTTATGGTCGATTCTTTTCTGTGTAGGGATAAGCATGCTTTAAGCGATGAACACCTATAGAAATATAAATTTCTTAATGAAGACATGTGTTTATTGTTGGCAATACCAAAATGTCGGTGTTAGGTTTTCCCGGCGAATACAGAGAATATTCTTTTATTAATTCAACTTTTATAAAGATGTTAAAGAACAACACGTTTAAATCGAAAATTGTCAATTTTAATGTTGGTTAGATGATTTGTGGCGCTGGTATCAAAATTTTAAAATTTTATATGGCGTGCGCATTGTTGCTGTAATGTCACGAACCTTTGATGCTACTAGTGTTATTTACTACAATTTAAAGTATTGTTATTTACTATAATTTAAAGTATATATATCCTTCTTTACTCAAAGATACTTTTCATATCTGTAAATATACAATATTTCTACTAGTTTATCGCAAGAATTATAGCTATTGGAAAATGGTCGGTTGATTCTGACTATCGCCATTCTCGGAACCAATAAAAATCAAAATAGTGTCTTCAATTTCCTACCTAGAATTATATTTTAAACTTGGTGAGGTTAAAAAGCATTGTTACCTACATATATTATTTGTATTTTGTTTTAACATTTATGTCCGTGCTATATATATATGTATATAAAGACGCGATATGCTTTATCAAATTCATAATGTTCCTTCGACGTTACATATTTATATTTTCATATTCACTTTTGTTCATTATTTTTAAAGAATTATCGCCATTAATACGTTTGCTTTGTTTTCAAAACTGCTATGGCGAATTATTTCATCTTTTACGGTCTTGATAAGCAAGACCGAAGCTTCGTATGTAGTGGATTGAGAAGGGAAATCATAAATTTTGTGACTTGGAAAACAATTTGTGAGTGCTGAGTCATAGATACTCAAAATCTCGTGTTAATTCAATCATTCATTTATTTTGCTTTGGGAAACGGACAATTTATGGACAACATTTGCGTGTTTTTAGTATGTATACTGTAGGCGCATTAGACATCACACTAGGCATCGGTTTTTTACACTGAAGTGGTTTTTGACGCATGCGTAGATTGAAGGGCTCAAGGGGTTTGTGACGTAGGTGTTTTTTATTGTCATTGTTTAGTGGAAAAGCAATCAATTTATTCTGACACGTCAAGTTCGTCCAGTCTGGCTTCATCCAACGATGGTTTGTTTTGCTTTCCAAAAAATACTGACCAGCCGACCACCCACCCTCAAAGTTCTCCCGAATGTGAAAAAGCGAACGAAAATTTCTATTTTACCGAATGTTCACCTAATGATAGCTTTTGGAACAAAGAACATTCAAGCAATTATAATTCTTCCTTGCTCATTGAGTTCGAAAGAAAAAGTCTTGACATACAAGCCATCTTGAATGTGTTGAAAAATGAAGATGAAGGTACTTCGTCAAGTGATATTTCCTCAAGAATTCCAAACCTTTCAACTTATGACGTTAATCTAATATTGAATGAGTTGGAGAAGAATCTTTTGGTTACGAAGTCGGGTTATGCTCCAATATTATGGTCTTTGGTTGACAGTATTATTCATACTTCGTACGAACCGCTGTTGAATCAATTCAATCAACTAACGGTGGATGGAAATTACATGCAACACGAGAAAGATCAAATTCACTTTCCACCCACTACCACAATAACCAATAGTACAGCAAATTTGCTATCCTCGTCTGGAAATGTTTTAAATAACAAAACCAGTCATTTTTCTCCTCCAATTGTTGACAAACATCACGAAGACAATCACTACATTCATCATTACGACTCTCATATTGAAGCTATTTTGTTGAGTATGTTTGACGAAAACTGTCGCTCAATTACTTTTTTTGAGATTAAAAATAGAATAAAGTTCGTTGACGACCTTACTCTTAACTGTATTTTACAAAGTTTGCTCAAACGCAACGTGATAACGAGCGATGGTGATCAAAGATGGAAGCGAGTAAAATCTCGATGTAATATTGGAGTGATAGGAGAGGAACGAAAACGAAGAAGTCCAGATTTGGATACTGTTCAGAAAGTAAATGAAGATGTGAATATGTCCTTGGAAAATAATAATGATACTTTCCCATCTTCACTTTTTTCTCAGCCAACAAGCATAACCTGTGCGAATACCAATGAACACAATGTTTCAACATTATCTCCCAATACGAATGGTTGTGACATAAATTCTACTCAAAATTCTCCTGGTAATGAATCATCACGCCATCGTGCCGTTGCGACAGGAACGTCCTCTGGTATTTCCTCCAAGCACCAGTCTGTTTCAGTAGAACATGGTCGTGCAAATGGATTGTATAAAAGAAAGAACATTTCTGATTCAACGAACGGATTTTGGAGTGGTCCAAAGAAGGGTAAAGCTAATCATGAGTTCGTGCAAAGCTCAAATGAACGTTCACCTCGTAATGAGAAAATAATTCAAAATTTTCCACCAAGTAAATCCAGATGTTCTCCACCATTACCAATGAAAACTACAGCTTATGAAATTATGGATGATCTCATACTGACTCCACTGAATGCGTATCAAAAAGAGATTTACAAGTCTGCGATGTGTGAAGATATCGTTAGTTATTTACCTTGTGGAACAGGTCAAAATCTCGTCATGGCCCAAGTTATTGCCCATTTGTTGATATTAAATCCATCAAAACAAGCGTTTGTGATTGTACCTGATTTATTAACTGCCTTAAAAGTATCGCAATTTCTACGAAAAGAACTTATTTCCAAGAATAAACGAAAGAAAATAAACGTAGCTGTGCATGCTGGATCACTTAAGCAGTCTATCGGACGCGTTAATGTTTCGGTGCTTACTTCAGCAACATGTCTAAGTTTACTTAAATGTGGTGCCTTGTCGTGGCGTGATGCATGTCTTTTGCTTGTTCATAACGTTGAAATGTGCAAAACAGATGAGTCATTAATGAAGATATTGCAAGAATACTACAGGAAGTCAAAAGTGGATTTGTCTGATGGATATATTCCCAAGTTGCTTGGTTTTCTTGGCTCGTCTAACGGTGGCGATAGTCCGCAAGAAACTTTGCAAGAACTGGAAATGGTGTTGTCTTCTATGGGAGATATCTGTCTGTGCCGAGTTGAAGAATCTCTTGTCGAATTACATAAAGCGAAGAAAGAAGCCATGTATGTATGTGTGCATACGACGTTGAGTCAAAATGAATCCAAGATGTTTTTTCTCCTGGGAACGTACTTCAATCTTGTGTTTGATAATTTGGCCGCTAAATGGACGTATTTGAACTCTTATCAAGAGCTTGTGAAAATCTCGTTCAAGAAAGATTCAGTCAACAGTGATGCCTTTCTTAAACTGATCGAATTAACTGGGCAATCATCGGATAAACGTCCTCATCGACCTTCATGTATGAAAACATGGCGACATTATGTAGCAATTTGCGAAGTCATTTTTACTCTCGTCGAATGTGGTGAGGATTTAGCGAAGGAGTTGCTCATGAACTTATCACGTGATCCTTGTGGGTTTGGCTGGGCCAATAACGTAGGCCTTCCTGGGTTTGAATTATTGCGTCAAATATTGATGGATGAAATGACGCCATCATGGGGTTAGTAGCTGGTGTTTACTTTTGTAAAGAGTTTATTTCTGAAAAAATTCTCATTAAGTGCCTCGTCTTTAGATCCCAGTGTCACCTGTCCCCGCGGCTCAGGATTGAATGAACTACTTCAGCAATTGACGATAATTCAGTGGGAAAACGCTCGCGTATCGTCTGAAAGGCCACTTGCTCTTGTCATAGTGAAGTTAATTAAAACTGCAAACGTGTTGGCCAATTATTTATCAAGATGTCCTCAATTGGTGAACAGAAATGTGAAAACTACTTTCATTGATGGTAAGTTGTCTGTCGTGCCTTCCTACCATCTTGACATTAATTGTTTTAGTCGTTATATTGTTTTAGTTTGAAAATTTCTCCAGTTTGACTATGCTGTGTCATTTTTCCTTTCATTTTCACTTTCCTTCAGTGATACATGAAGTACTTCAGATACCTAATCCTATTTTTATAATCCTATTTGTTTTTTACTTTTCATGACATTTTCATATTTTAAGTTTCATTTTAAATGCACTTTCCAACAATAAACATTTTGTTATAAGTTTTATAAACAATATTTTTACTTTATATTATGTAGGTTCTAAATCGCCTCAACAAAAAGATATTATTTCTGCTATGAAACGACGCCAATATCAAGTTATTGTTACAACTGACAACATTGATGACTTACCTGTACATTGGGAACTTGTCGTTCTCCTTGATCTTCCATCAACTGAATATGCTTTGGAGCAGTTACGAAAAAGAAATGCAACAAATGTCGTCGCCATCTCACGCGATCATAATGGCGAACATCAGCTGAAACAATTATTAAATAGAGAAGAATGTCTTGAAAAAGTTATATCTTACATAAAAACTGGGACATCTTCTTACACTCAGAGTTAAACATTAATGTTTCATTATTGTCAAGTCTGGAGAGCATTCGCGAGTGAAGTCGTTGAATATGGTATATTTAAGGTAGATGAAAAAGCAAAATATCCTATAGTATTGTGCATGACACGAACGCATTTCATTTGGCACGCGTTGAAATAACTGTGACTTTTATAATGGAAAGCAAGCTTCTTCAAGTGGAAGAATTGGTAGTAGTCAGTATACAGAAGATTATATATTTTGCCATGCTTTACCTCTGGGATACGAGGGATGCCATGCTTTCCACCTGGGAGGGAGGGAGGGGTGTGTATAAATTATTAAGAATTTGATTACGATGCATGTTAAATTAAAGTTGTAATAGATTAGATCTTATTTCAAAACATTGAGAGGTGTCGGATGTTATTGTGCGATTTAAAAAGCATTCTTACTTCTACACCTCATTTTGTTTTGATTTTCTGTTATTTTGTTGTATTAAAAACGATGAGAAAAATATTTTAAAAGAAAATGATGATTCGAAATCCTGATTCCTACTGAGATATGAGAATATAACGATTGTGGAAACTGTCTTCTCTTGAATTGATAGAATTTTCGTTTGATTTCATCATTTTGTATTTAAAATAACTCATCGATAATAATTTTTAACTAAAAGTTGAACTGTTTGTGTAGCGTAGATTGACATCGGCTCACCGTATAACGTTGCCGTGTTTGTTTTGTCAGTCAAACAACAATTGATTGAATAAAAAGAACAGAGAATTTTTAATAAAATTACTAATAATTTTAGAGAATGCTTTGTTTGTGTCATTTTATTACTTAGATGATTGCATATTTGTGGCCATTGTGTTAGTTTTATAATGTAAGCACGTCAGATGTGCATTTCGTAGCATCTCTTCCTGTTTTACTAGGAATCTTTAATAGGTTTCGCAGAAAACGCTTATTTTCGCTTCATGTTTAGATATGAAAACGATTCAACAAAAACATTTTTCAAAAAAAGTCAACTCTTCCATTACAATATTTGTTTCGCGTTATTCTCGTTCTTTTCCTCTGTCTTTGGACGCAAATATTTTTGAAAACCCGAAGACATCGTCTGCTAATGTTAGTCGGCATGTAGATACAGAAAGTATAACTTCTATATTTTTATATACCTCTATGTATCTATGTATGTAATAAATAAGAATAAACACTTACCTATGTAGCATTCTTCGATGGTTTATGTGTTTCAGAAAATATACTGACGACAATCATGTCAGCCTTTAAATCTTTTCGATACGCTAGGAACATGCACACCTTGGTTCGCATTTTTCTTTTGTTAAATCAGTCTTTGTTGTCCCCAGGCCTTACTCTGTTTTTGACCACTTGTGTGGTGTGCACATTAAGTAAGTCATTCTTGTGGTGTTCTTAGGTTTTGTTCTGATTTTAAGAGTTTCCCGTTTAGAAAAAATCGGAGATTTGTTCATCAATGTGTTATATTCATGTTATATTCAGACAAAGAAAGTAAAAAAAGTGAAAAATTTTAATTATTTTTTTTATTTTAAAGTTTTGTGTTCCATGGATACATGCGATCCATATATATGTACCCATAAATCACATGCAGTTCATTAATGTACGCCTAGCAACCCCCGAGAAAGGTCAACGTTCTTCAAATTTCATTCTTTGTTGTATTTATAAAATGATCGCACACGCGATGAAATTAGAATGTAAAATGTGTGAATATCTCTGTGTTCTTATATTTCCAAATATATAAAATGTCAGACAAAAGCAACAACAATCATTTAAAAAGAATTGAGAAAGGTATACTATTATAATTTACATTATTATGTTATTGATAATTTAATGCTTAGAACTAAGTACTTCCTCGTCACACGATTGCTCTTATTACGCGAATTTTATCCTTTGTGTAAAATTTGAAGCGAGGAACACTGAAAAACGTTTCCCTATCAACTCAATAAGTAAATATTCTCACGGTAAATGAACAAAACAACAACACAAACATTGTTGATATACGTTGTAAAACTTACGAAATAAGCGTTTGTTATTTTGATACTGTTATAACAAACGTTTCTTTAAATTTGATATTTTTAAATGTTTACCTAAACCACTGAATATTTTCATTAAATACACAGCAACTATAACTTAATGTAAACATGTTGATTCCAGCTTTCAACTATATTTAGTCATCATCAGTAATTAGAATGCTTATATTATTTGGAGTTAACGTTGTTGTACTGATATTTAACGTAGACAAAATGCAAGAGGTGATTGACACGAATACGACTGACAAAAAGCTTCCACCTGAGGTACAAGCGCAGAAAAGGTAGGATATTTTAAACAGAAATTTATGTTACGTTTTTTCCAAGTATTACTCTTGACTAGAAAATTTGTAAAGTTTACCTGTGATACAAATTTTTTAGTTAGAATTGTTATTGTAATGTCTATATTTATGTATTGACTTACACCAGGCCCAAACCTGCAATTCCACCTCGACCTGCTCGTATCGCTAATCAAGGATATAAGAAACCAGCCACTTCTGTATCCAATTCAAATTCACATATTCCATCAAACAAAAATTCAAAACTTCCTGAGAATGATGATGCTTCTTTACAACATAAGAAAAATTCACCTAGAAATTCCCCTAAACTCCATCATCGTGTTGAGACCATACCTTTAGAGACAAAGACAAATAAAACTAATTATCATCATCAAACAAACCATTCTGGTAAGCATGAAAACGATTGTATTCTTGCTGATTCCAAAGGTGAAGAAACGGTATTAATTGCCTCTAAAAATAAGTTAGAACAAAGTGAGACAGGCACAAAATGCTTGCCATCAGGTTTAAATGAAAATAAGAATAAGAATATTAACCCACCTGTTGCTGAAAAATGCAAAAATGGCAAATTATCGATAACTGAACTGTCTCATGTGGAGTCCACTTGTGAAAAAGATTCAGAGACTTCAGGATATGAAGTCCACACAGGAAATACCGAGGACTGTGTGTTAAATATAAAACCAATGGACAATGATTTAGTTGTAGTTAATGACAAGTCATCTGTGAGAACAAAGAACAAAAACAAGAAGGAACTGGATCTAAACTCTTCCCATTTGTCTGTAGAAAACAAAGAACAAACTAAACCTGCAAAACCTGACAGACCTGCAAGACCTGACAGACCTGCAAGACCTGACAGACCTGCAAGACCTGACAGACCTGCAAGACCTGTGAAACCTGCAAGGCCTGCAAGGCCTGCATTATTGATAAAGAAAAATGATGTGAAAAAATCCAAATGCTCACAAGAATCTCTTAAGACTGAAGGAAGTGACAATATTGATGTTTCAAATAAAACATCACTATCTTTAAACACAGAAGATTATGATTCTGAGGACAGTCATAATGTTGATGTATTTGTTTTAAAAACATCTGTGAAACCTGAAACACCTGTAATAGAAAAAGATTTTCATCCAAATTCATCAAATGATTCTCAGGAATCTGTTGTTTCCAAGGAAAGTCATACAAATACATTTATATCTAATAAACCTGTTCGACCCACCAAACCATCAACACCAATGTCAAAAACAGATTTTCATCCAAATTCATCAAATGATTCTCAGGAATCTGTTCATTCCGAGAAAACTCACAACAATGCATCGAGCTTGAGTGAAGCTACTAGACTAACCAGACAAGTCCAATCTTTGCCTGAGAAGAAATTGGATCCAAACTGTTTGAAACACTCAGAGGAATCATATGATTTGAAAGTTAATGAAAATTTTGATGCTTCAATTGCAACATCCACTGTTCAAACATCCACTTGCGTCTTAGAAAATCAAATTAATGACGGGTCAAGCAAGCTTACGAGACCTGTGGCTCCCAAAAGAAAGAAAAAAATACAAAATTTGAATTATGTATCACAAGATGTTCAAGATGTAATGAAAAGTGTGAAAGAATCTGAAAATTTAACTTCCTGTAATAATAACTTGGTAAAACCACCGGAGGATAACAATAGAAAAGACAATGTTAAAAATGTCGAACATCTTGATGAAAAAGTTGTAAAAGAAAATAATGTGAAGCATTGTAGTGATGAAAATGGCGATAAAACAACAGGATATTTGAAGAATGAAAATGTAGACATTGTCGACGAGAAAAAGCAACCAACTTGTTCAGCCTCTGAAAGTTCAGAGCGTGTTAGTAATGATTTATTCTTAGCAAAACCTGAAAAACCGAAGAGAAGCTTTATTTCACCAGTCAAGCATGTTTTAATAGAGTCAGAAATAGAAACAGAACAAGTAGAAAGTGAAATCCATGGTTCAAATGCAAATTCTTCTGTAAGTGCGAGTAAAGCATCTGCCAAATCTTTCGCTCTCGAGCAAAGTACAAAAAGTGGGGATCCCATAGAACTGTCGTTTGATGAAATCAAATCGAACTCAATCGAGAATGAAGAAAATTTTGTAGGAGAAACAGATGAAGAAGAATGTACGTCTGGCAACAAAGATATTCAAAAATCTTTCCAAGAACGTTGTGCATCTAAAAACCTGAAAACTTCCTTTGAAGACGCTACTGAAACGAGGGAAGTTGATAATAATACATTTGTAGAGCCTTCTGCACCTGACTTTCCATCTTGTTCTAAAACTAAATTTCCTACCGACCATCATCAGTTGGATTGTAGTTTAGTTGAAAACCGCGAAGGGATTGAAAGTTTCAATAAGGTTGATGATACTGCTTACTGTGATAACGTCGTGAAAAATAATGATGGAAATATTAAAAAGAAACGTAAAGCACCTGATCTTCCCGATAAAGTTGCGAATAAAAGTGTTTGTGATAATTCTGACACGTCGGAGGAAGAAAACAAATGTAATATTGTTGGTTGTGCTGGAACATTTGCAGAAAATCAAGATGTGACGAAAGACGATGAGTTGGAACGGACTTGGGAACCACAATCTGTAGAGGACTATAAATGCGTAGACAAGGACATTGAGGTGTATCATAAAGCGACTGAGGATGAAGAATCATCTTTTCATATAGAAGAAGCGTCGATAAAGGAATTTAAAAATACGTCTGCTGAGTCAGACTTAAAATCATTTGACACGGAAACGACGCCTCCAGTCAAACCTAAGAGAACATTACTACTTGAAAGTGAATCTCCAACAGTCATCTTCAACAAGGTATGAAAATGTTTCGTTTTGCAGTTTTATTTTAATTAATCTATTGAAAACATATTTTTCTGTGTTAAGGATGAAACAAGTGAAGTTTCTTCAACGGAAATGAATGAAAAGCTACAAAACATTGATAATATGGAAGAAAAGGCTGATGATAGGCCAGGTATCGTGTTAAAAGAGAACATTATCTGATGATTTAAGTTGATAAATGTTTTTTACATTTTTCCTCTTCATTATCAATCAAAACACAGCGAAAGATCCTCTTCCTGTGAAGACTAAACCCGCAAGACCTGCTGCTCCTTCACCACGTGGTAAGAATGTGGCATTACGGCAAAAGAAAATGGTGAATTGAAAAAACCACTCGTCGTCACTGTGATGATTATTTTGTTATAGGTAGAAACGAATTGTTGCGTAGTGTTAGTTTTGGAGCTAAGATGAAAATAAAACAACCTCTTAGACCCAGACCTCCCACATTTTTTGTGAGCAAAACGACAAATGAACGCGCGTCATTGGATGGAAAAGACAGTGAAGATTCATGTGATGAAAACGTATCAAGAACAGGTAGATATGTTTGATCAAAATCATCGTAAAATTGATAAGAAATGATTACGTTTGCTTGTCTTAATGTACAGTTCAAAACACCAACGATAACTCGGCAAATGAGATCAAAGAAAGCAAGGGTTCTAGTTCGGACTCCAACTCCGACACTGAAATGGTAAGATAAATATTTTTATTATCAAGGCTGTATTACTTCACTAAAGTCTTGAGTAAATTACAGGAAGCAGAAACGCAAGAAAAAAGCAAAACTTATTATATCTCACGTGAGATTTTATCCACCGAGAAAACATTTGTTGATGCAGTTAAACTTGTCTCTGAGGTAACTGCATTATCCAACATTTCTCTCCTGTATTGACTTGAATTTTCAAAACAAATCTTCGTTTCAACAGGATTTTGTAGAAGTATTAAAGAATGAAAGTAAGAAGTATGGCCGTCCTATTATCGCGGATGAAACTTTGCAAGAAATCCTAATGAATATTTCTCAAATTTATAAATTTGACTCTGAATTCTTGAAAGCACTTGAGGAACGTATGGAAAAGTGGTAGGGCGGCTATGATATATGGAGCAGCTACTTAAGGCTTAGAATAATGATGACGTCTTTATAAAAGTTTGATATTTTTTCTTCAGGGAAAACGAACCGAGAATAGGTGATATTATCAAGAAATTTAGTCCTTTTTTAAAGGTAAATGTCTTTATTCTATTTTCTAATCATTAAATTTTTTTGCAAACGATCTTGTGTACTATTTCCATTATTTCATCCTTGTTCTTTGTATATTGCTGTGTATTATCTGTAGTACCTTGCTGTTGTATATATATAGATGTACAAGACTTATATACAAGGTTATGATCATGCAATGGCTCTCCTTACTGAAGCAATGAAAAAATATCCGCAATTTGCAGTTGCTGTTCGTGACTTCCAGGTATTTAAACTTATTCCTAAATTCTACATACGGCAACCATTGAGAAGAAATGAGTTTATTTGAAAAAAAAATCACTTCTGATGTGTGTACCTTGCAAGTATTATAATGTCATTATGATACTTATTAATGTATTAACGTCAGATAAATTATTCTGTTTTTCCTCAAGTCAAGTGAAAGATGTCAAAATCTCACTATTGGAATGTACATGTTAAAGCCAATACAGCGTATTCCAAGTTATCGTTTACTTCTTATTGGTAATGATCACTGTTTTAGTTTTCTCGTTTGGTCTTAGCATAGTACTTCACAGGATTTTTTATGTCTTAGATTATTTAAAACATCTCAATAAGGATTCATTGGACTATAAAGATGTTTCAGGTCGGTAATCTTCACATATTTTTGTGTTTATCGTGTGTTTTTTTAAACATTCAATCTAAAGTCTGCTGATTTATGTTCATACAGATGCCCTTCATATTGTTTCTGATGTTGCTACACATATAAATGAAGACATGAAACGAGTGGTAGGTATCTAAGCTTTCACTTTTTACTTCTTTACATCGAGATAAGCTAACCTCTTCTTAGAATTTATCATATCTTATATTTCATACATTTCATTAAAGCTGTCTTTCATCACTTTGTCCATTTGAACTATCGTGTCAGGATTTCAACTAAATTTTAGAGATTATTTGGAATAATGCAACAACAAAAAAATGATAAATTTGCTTGCTGTAAAAATATCTTTAACGAGTGCCTTCGTGTATAGCAAACCACCTTTTTATTAGATTACAGACTACTTCAGGTATAAAATGTGTATAGCTCAATCTGCAATCAGTTATATGATGATAGTCAGTTGGATAGGGTTATATGGACAATTTTGTCGTCTTCTAGTAATGTAATCAAACTTATTTGGCATGTAAAATATTTAATGTTAGCTAAATTAAGCAATACTCGACTTTCAGGACAATTTTGAAGAGGTGTTAAAAGTTCAAAGAAGTTTGGTTGGACAAATTGAGATTGTAAAACCTGGGAGAGTAAGTAACTGTAATCTTCTCTCAATAATTGATTATGTTGAAATTCAAAGTACTATTGCGTTGCTGTAAAATCTTTAAATTCCTTTAGGAACTGATCAAAGAAGGACTTTTGATGAAACTATCACGTAAAGAAATGCAACCCAGAATGTTTTATTTGGTTCGTAACTACAGAGATAATTACAATATTTTGATGCAGTATTTAGTCGGAAAGCCAGCATCTGATGTAATTTATTTTTAGTTTACTGACATTCTTTTGTACACGACGCCTGTAGCCAATAATCAATTTCGTTTGAATCTTTTGTTACCTTTGGAGGAAATAAAGGTGAACCGGACAGCGTTAACTACATTTCTATTTCGGTTTCATAAAAAATAGTACGAGGCTTTTTTCTTTAGGTCGAATTGCCTGTCTCGCCTGAATTCGACAATGAATTTAGTATCATCAGCACAAAAAAATCGTTCAGTCTCTCTGCAAGGTCAGTTGCACAGTGAAAATTCATTCTTGAAGTATCATGAATTTTTTTTCTTTGACAATATCGAATTTTTAGTACTGCTGAGGAAAGAGACGAGTGGCTCGAGGTTTGTAGGAATCTCTTGAAAAGTTCATTGCAAATATCTTCCCTCTTCTCTTCAAGAGTTTTTCTTAGGCCTTACGTGATGCTTCTGATGAAATTCGTAAGAAAAGAATTACTTTTCATGTGGCCATTCATAAGGAAACGATAGATGAGGTTTTTTTTTATCATAATTATCGACGAAATTTATTATTTAATGTTTTTGTTTATTTCGTTTTTATTTTATTCATATGAGGCGGAACAAGAAAATGAAGAGGAAAATGAGAGATTGGGCAGGAAGGCACCTGTGTGGATCCCAGATACACGTGTATCTATGTGTATGTTGTGTACGGATGATTTTACTGTAACAAATCGGCGCCATCATTGTAGAGCTTGTGGAAAGGTTTGTTTATCTCATTTCGTTTCGATATTAAAAGTTTAAAACCTGGTTAAAAATTAATGATTTCAGTTCAAGAAAGCAATTTGCAGTTAGAAGTTTTAGTTATTTTCATCTAAAGCAATGACAGTCAATTGTCTTTATTTTGTTCACTAAATCCCGACAAACAAACAAACAATATGTTATTTTTTATGAACAGACAAATCTAGTTGTATTGCATGAAAATATTACCAACAAACAATGTTTTGTCCACTGTTTTACAGTCTATTGGGTATTGTATAGCTAACTCTTCACACATAATAAAACTTATGATTAATCGTATATTCATGAAGATTTTTCCTGTTCTAGATAGTACATTAAATACAAATCTTTATTTTGTAAATTTTCATTTACGTGCACATCATCGTCTTTGCATTTTATATGTATCAACACAGGTTTTTCTCCATCAATATATGCAACATGAAATTGATCGCCCCATTCTCCACCAACTAATATTTTATCTGAGTCTTTTACTTGAATCCTCTCACGAAAAGATCGTCCATTATTTAAGTCTTCTTCCTCACGACGTTCTGTCTTCACTTCAAGACCATAAACATCCTCCAACGTCTGCCAGTCATTTGCACAGAAATATAAATGTTTTTTTTCTTTTTGTGTTGGACTTGTTAAAACATCTCTCACAATATACGAATCTTTTTCGCCTCGCAGTAAAATATTACCTTTTGTTGTCCTTACTTTAACTTTATTTGGTGTGCCACAGTACAAACTCATTTCTTGGCGGACTCGTTAGCCTTAATTTCCTGAACTGACTAAAGCATAATAATCTTGTAACCGTTCATGACCTTCATTGCATTGTGATTGGTCCATTTGGACAAAAATCTTTCTTTTCATTCTGCATAATAAAAGAGAAACGTGCTTCAATTGTTTACATGTCATGATTAACTTGTGTCATTCTCATGTCTACGTCTTTACGAACAGCTGCTCTGTGTTTGCAGTTTAGTTTTGTATTTATTAATTTGCTTTCTTATTGTACATTATCTTTTTGTGTGTAGCAAATGCCTTCATTTTTTTCAAGGTCGTCTGCAATTCCTGTTCGTCCAACTCAACACAACTTGCTTATTTGAATTACGAAACGGCGAGAGTGTGTGATATTTGCTTTGAAGGTAATATTGGCTTTCTGCTCATGGAAATCTCAAAATAAAGTTGATAATGGACTTTTGTCATTTTAGAACTTAGCGGAGGAAAGGCAAACACATCCAGAACAACTGTAGCTAAAACTAAAAGCACAGAAATCAAAAGAAAAGAATCCAATCCAAAGATAAATGCTTCTAAAAAGTTGCGAAAGTTGAAAAAATCTAAAGAGGTGTCGATCAAATCATTTATCATACTCGTGAATTCGAAACATTTAAAAAATTTTTTTCGGTGTCCTTAGATTCCTGCCGTTGAAGAGTCAACCATCAGCGGCTATCTCAAACAAAAAATTGGCAAAAAATGGCAGAAACGATGGTTTGTGATTAAAGACAACGTTCTTTACGCATCGAAAGCCAGTTCAGTATGTCATTTTTTCATCGTTTTTTTAATGATATAAAAGTTACAGTTTTTTACTCTATAAAGCGACCGATAATTTTCTCATAAGAAAAATGAAATCAAGGAAGATGTATTTCAACATTTTTATTTTAGGATCCAGCTGCACAAGAGACAACACCTTTACTTGGTTATGATATTCGTGGCCCAGATAAAGTAGTTATGAAATTTTATCTTTTATAGAAGTTGATGTAATGTTATTTCATTTGCAAAATTATGTTTTAGATGGATGGAGATATTAAAAAGATTGTATTTCAGTTGATCCACGCTGGAACTGAACCTGTAATATTACAAACTGATAGCATGAAAAATGGCGAGCTGTAAGTGCTATGAATTAATTTTGAAAACCTTTACTATACTGACATTTTTTATTTTTTATCAGATGGGTTAATGCTTTACGACGTGCAACAATTTTGCCTGTCGAGTGAAGGAATTTTAATACCGAATGAATAAACGTTTCCACAAGGAAGAGTGAGGTAGGAGTATCTTTCCTCATGTAATACTATACATCTGTGTTAATGTTTCGCGCTGACTAACATGTTTGCAGTCTCAGCCATACAATGACGTTTTCATCAATAGTTATAAATCTCAAATTTATATAGTGATCATTTCAAATCCAGAGGGCTTTTTATAAATCTGAAAACAAAAAACACGTATAATTATTAAAATAAATGCCTTTTAACAAATGTAAAATATATAGATGCAGAGTGTATACATTACCGCCATTAAATTTTGAAGATGTGTGCTTGTGGTTGTGACTCTTTACAGGAAATTAAGCTAGAAAAAAAATAATTTGTGTGTTTTGTCGTTATTGATGAATGAAAGGCGACAATATGATGAAGTGTTTTATAATTGTCGTGCATATGTTATTTGAAAGGAGTAATTGCTTGATCTCTTGGAGCTTTTAATTCTGTGGTACGTTTATTAAAACTGTTGTTATTTCGACCGTTTAAAATATTTTATTCTCGGCTGTTTGAACGAATCTCATGATAAATTTCCCTTGTGGTGTGCTCTGTTGGAGCGAGACAAGGTGATGTGTATGACATTGAATGATACACAACATGTTTTTTGTTCAGTTGTTGTATGAATTATTGAGATGTCTTACTTACTTTGATATGTTTGTCATTGCGTTTTTTTGAGGTTAAGAACTGAATCATTCAGTGTTTCCAAACCTACAGAACAGTATAAGCTGAGTCTATTAACATAAAATCACGTAATGAAATTTCAGACAATTTCGATTGTAAAATGCTTCAAAACTTTCTTTTGATCACTCTTGAAAATCTAAAAGTAATCGTTTTCTTCTCGGTTTTTTAATTTGGTTGTACCTAAAAATCAACCATGTTCACGTTAACCAATATTGAGCGATGATATTGCACCTTGTTATAGCAGCCTGGCTATTTTCATGTTAATGTTTTTTGCTGTAAATTTCTTATTTTGATGTTTACTAAGCTTTCTAGCACAAGTTTTCCTCAGTTAACTCAATTCTCCTGTTAATTTCAACGCAGTCCAGATTACTTGTGGCTGTCAAACTTTCATTATTCACAAAAGTGGTGATGCGTTTATTTATTATCTGTCTTTAGCGTTCAACCAATAAGATTGCAGTTGCATCACGGGTGGTAAATTTTATTGCATTTGTCGATGAGTGACGAGTAGGGAAGCTCACTATGACACTACGATGCCTACGTATTGGGTTATTTCGAAATAAGCTAAACTGTGAACTCCATGTTGTCTGCCTATATTTACCTTAAAACTGTATATTCTTTGTCGTGTTCTATATTTATGGATCGGTTGGTGAACGAAGAAGCTTGTGACGCCTGTTCTACGATTATATGAGCTTTTACTGCGACTCGCAATGTGGATATTTCTTGTATTTAGCTATCTTTCCATTCCATTAATATTTGCAAGTGATTTATGCCCAAGCACCTGTGTTTGTGACAATTATTTTGTTAAATGTCCTCAACAACATTTGCTACATTTTCCAAAATGGCTACCTAAAGATGTGACGAATATGTAAGTACCTTTCAATCGATTTCTAACGTAATTATAATGTTATTATTATTTTTTCATCCATACATGTAATGCGCAAACTTTCAATGTCTTGAGTAAATTCGTGCTTTCGTGTCCTACAATACATGTTCTCACGCTGCGTACAATCATAAAACAACTATTCTATAATATTTGACTTCTTTTAAGTAGGAGAATATTTGGTGCCGCTTTTTCGTGGAGATTGTTTTTAAATTATACGTGTAATGTAGAGGTTAGATAGATACCGGTCAAAGTTATTGTTTGGTATTAATAATATAGCAGTAATCGGCTTTTTGAGTTATAACGACAATGTTGTGGACGATGTCGACAAGCAATTTAACTCATGATAAGTGTCTTTATGTGTGGGGGTCGACCTTATCTCGCGATATTTTTTTTCATTGAATCAACAGTTTGTTAACGACTACATTTTTCTATCAGACATGCATTTAAACTGTGTAGTTTCGTACGGAATATCAAAGGATTTGCTGTACTTTCGCACACGAAGATGATTTGAAAGAAGCTTTATTTCCTAACTGTTCATGCACGATAATTTCTTGCTTGTACAAAACTCGTGTCGTTTCTTTGTATAATAAACATGGCAAGCAGATCTACTCAAATTTCAATAACACGAACATTATTGTGGGAAAGAAAAATATTACTGATGGCCATAACCTGCTTATTTTAACCTTTCCTGTTTAATGCCAAGGTTGTTTTTCACTGCAAATTAAAAATTTTTAAACTTATTATTGGACACCGCCTTATTTCAGTTGAACACTATAATCATTGTGGTCGAAGTTGATATTAACAAATTTTATGTAATTATCAGTCTATCAAAAAACGTGCTTTTTTGCTCAAATTGTTTGAAATGGCTTTGCCCTTTGAAATTGCCCAGAGAGTTGATGCGAAAAGATTTAGTATGCCCGCTAATAGTCAACGAAATTCTCCTGTTGCGATTTCATCTATTTCTGCCTTGATATTCCTTTATGTTTTATATTTTTGAAATAACTGCTTCTCCCTTGCTAGATTTTGCAGAGCAATGCTACATTTTTGTATTCAAGTTTTCCCCAAAAATTCCCGTAGACTGGTATAGATTAAAAAAATTTCGTCGAAGATTGTTGGAAATGCATACTCAGTTCAATTCAGACGAAGCATGCTGTGTTTGAAAAAAACAACGCGTCTTCTAGATATTTCAAGTATTCCTTGCGCCGTTTAATAAGGGCCAATATTTCCTGTGCCAATATTCCCCATTGCGTAGTTACACATATTTTAATGCCATGGCACCAGGTTATGAAAGAACAAAACGTCGTTTTATATATTACGGTTGATAAAAGCTTTACAATGTAACCTGTCTGTTCAATGTAGAACTAAAGTTAGACAATTTTGCTAAGTTTATTGAAGCATTTGAACAAGTAAGCGTGCTGTTGAAACATGTTTACGTTGGCAGCGGAACTTAGCCTTCATATAATGATGCTCATTCACAGCTTATTGTAAGCTTAAAGTCATTAACTTTCAAATTACCCCGAAGACGTGATTCCTTGAGAAACGTACATCTTCATTTTATTTGTAGACTTGAAAATTACAAATGTGTAAATATGTACTTTTAAAATATGTGAAAATTGACTGAAGACAAAATTTTCAGTTAAAAACAATGTGTGTTTAACGATTTCAAAATAAGTTTTTAGTTAACTGCCAGACGTATTATCTCTCTGGGAGGTCGTTTTAGACATCTTTTTTTTGTTAAGTAATCTTGCCTGGTTGTCTTTCCTGTATTGTCGAATATTTAACTCTCTTGCAATCATTAATTTGAACGTCCATATTTACGTAAAAGCACAATTGAAATTAGAAACTGAATATATATGTTTTTTTTTATCAGTTTTTAATTTGTATGTACTGTTACAAATTCCCTGACAACTTTTATAATCATAAATCTTTTACTGAAATCTGACTCTGTTCGATCTTTTTTCAAATGTTCGTGATAAAACAGAGGTAGATGAAGAGTTGTCAACATAGATGTCAAAGTATTCGAATTACAAAAGATTGAATAACGTGATTATACGTCTTCTTATTTTATCAGTAGCAATACAAAATGGTGTTCACGAAAGTTCTTTTTCGAAGATTATGTTTGTTTTATAGAGATTTTAGTGGAAACGAACTTTCCCTGATTGACAACGATACATTCATTGAGTTTACAAACCTGGTCGAATTGTGAGTAAATTTTTTATTTTGAAGCAAAAATTTAATAATGAGTAATTGTAATTGAATCCTTTCATAGGAACTTAAGTGACAATCAATTCGATGATATTCGTAGCCTTGGAAAGCTTCCCAAGACTCTGAAATTTTTATATTTGTAAGTTCTGATGATTATTTCTTTCAATCTTACTCTCAGAATACTCCTGTATGACATATACTGTTTTTCATGTTGTAGAAGCCGGAACAAGCTTAAGTCAGTGAATGGAGTTTGGAATCAGTTTGTGAAACTGTAAGTTCAGTATCCTTGATATCATGTTATATTTTTTTGAAATCAATAGGTTTTATTTATGATTTTAGAGATTTTAGTGGAAACGATATAGTTAAGATTGAGGACAACACATTTGTTGGAGCGCAAAATTTGGAGGAATTGTGAGCTCATTTTTTATCATCTATAAAATTCTTGAACCCCATTGTGCTAATGCTTTCTGTTTTTTAGAATTCTTAGTGATAATAACATCAAAAGCATATCTCCTAAAGCCATGGCTGACATGAAAAAACTCAGAATATTGTAAGAACGTATTCAAAATTTTAACCTTTGAATATAAATGTTATTGTGACGTTCAGACTCTTGTTTTTATAGAAAGCTTGATGGAAACAATCTCACTGTATTACCTCCTATTCACTGTAAATCAGTTCATACATTGTATGTTACTTTAATATTGTGCATATTCTTAGCTAGAAAGTATTTTTAATATATTTTTGATGTCTTTAATATATCTAGAGACTTAAGTGGAAACAAGTTGAAAAAGATTGATACTTTGGCTATCGGGAAAATTGTTCCCTCCATTGAGACATTGTAATTGAAGAAAAAGCTATTGGTTTTTGTATTTTCAAATGTTTTTAATGGACAATATTTTTCTTCCAGAATATTATCCAACAATGAAATAATGTCTTTGGCAGATGCTGCTCTTTCAAGTGTAACTTTGAAATATTTGTAAGACTTAATTTTTCATATTACCACTTATTAATTAGATCATGCTACTAACTTAAGAATTTGTTTATTTACAGATATTTGAATGGAAATATGTTGAAAAGTATCGATAGAACATGGATGTTTGGTTTAAATGCTTTGGAACATTTGTAAGTTTAGAAATGCTTCTCATATACTTATGTTTATAAATTTTTTATGTGGTGATTTCTTTAATTTTTTAGAAACTTGGAGAATAATGTGATTGTAAACATATCTTCATCTTCTTGGAGAACTAATTGTTGTAACAACTTGAAATTTTTGTAAGCAAATCTTTGACATTCTAAACTCAAACCTAGATCTTATTTATACCAAATTGCATTTAGAAATTTGGCTCATAATAAGTTGGGACAGATACTGTTTGAAAATGATAAAAGCAAAGGAGCAAATCTTGCCAATTTAGGATCATTAATCAGTTTGTAAGTTTTAAATTTGTTTTTACTTTATTCTGAAGAGTTAATTCACTAAATTTAAAATTCTCTCTCCCCAGAAATTTAAGCTCCAATGAAATCTCACATATTAGTGATGGTTCCTTTAACAGCTTGAAAAGTTTGAAAACATTGTAGGTTAATTAATATCATTTTAAAATGCTTAAAGGAAAAAATTGTTGTTCATATGAAAATGCTTATTTCTGCTAGGGATTTAAACAGTAATAAATTATCTTTGGTGAAAAAATCCACTTTTAAAGAGTTGTGGAAACTCGAGAAATTGTAAGTCTCATCATTTTGCTGAAGTTGGAATAACATAACTCATCATTTAGTGTTTCTTTTTTACAGGTTTCTTTATCAAAATCCTTTGGTAGATTTTAGTGAAGATGCATTTTCTTCTTTTGAACATCTGAGTTATTTGTAAGAAAATTAATAACTTATTCTTTTCATTATCATGCAGTAACTTAACTGGAAATTATGTGGTAATATTTATTGTTTATAGACATCTTAGTAGTGATGTTGTTCACTGTGGTTGTAAAATACAGGGTTTCATAAAGTGGTTAAAGACTTCATCATTTGTTCATTCTACTCATTTGAAATGTGGTCAACCAATAAAATTGGCTGGCTCTGATCTTACAAAGATTTCTTACAAAGATCTCAAATGTGGTTAGTTAGAACCTGATAAATTACTTCACATGCAAAGATTTTTTAATCCATATTGTTGATTTTATGAAATTGTTTTTGTTGCTTTAGATACAACTCGTCCTGTAATTACAAATGATCCACAATCACAGATAGCTTTAGCAGGAGATGAGGTTAGATTAAGTTGTACTGTAAAGAATGGCTCGATGCGAGCAATAAGAATATTATGGCAAAAAGATTCAAAGAATGTAAACCTTATGGAATCTAAAGTTATTGTCTATACACAGGTAATTATTATCATACTATAAAAGATGGTTATTAATTCATTTTTTTTTGTATTGGTATTTTATTGGATCTAATATTTTTACTCCAAGCAATTTAAAAAATAATTACTTGTGTAATGATGAAGTTTAGTTAAAATATTTTACACAATCATTGCAGACGGAAGTAAAATTCGTATATTATACAAGTGTGCTATACTTGTACAATGTATCGGATGAAAAAGATGCTGGTCGTTACCAATGTCTCATTTTTGTGGGAAATGAAAGATTGGAATCGTTGATTGCAGACGTACATGTTTTTAGTAAGTAAATAATTCACTTTAATGATATTTTTATTGTTGATTATGTCTTTTCATAAGAATTTTGTTTCTTTACTTTTGTGTTACATTAGTTCCTCCGAAATTTACAAGCACTCCTGGAAATTTGATAGTTCCACCAGGATATGATGTTTATTTAAATATTTCTGCAAGTGGTGATCCTCAACCAAGCATATCGTATAGAAAAGAAGAAATGTCGCGTTTCCTAGCAGCTCGTGAAAGACGTCTGGGTGTTAAAGATGCAACTTTTGTGATAAAAAACGTATCTCATAGAGATGCTGGTCGTTATATATGCTTTGCAAAAAATGAAGTTGGAATAATTAATGAAACATTTACATTAAATGTGATAGGTTAGTTCGTGTTTCTTACATTAATTTTCAAACTAAGTCATCCTTTATATTTTTACTTTTATATATTTAGGAGCTCCAATAGCACAAAGTGAGATGTTAGACAAAGTTGCACTCGTCAACGATTCAGTTGTATTTGTATGTTCTGTCCGCGGATGGCGGTCGCTACAATTTACTTGGTTAAAAGATGGTAAAATAATCAATGTTACATCTTCAAGGAATATGCAAGTTCAACTGACGAACAATGGTCAAAATTTGTTGTTATCACAAATAAAGATTAATGATGCTGGAATATACAAATGTCGTGTGTCAAATGAGTTGGGTGCTGTTGAATTGAAGAGTTATTTAAAAGTTGTTAAAGGTTATATATTTAGTTTGATGCAATCTACAGTTCTTTAATTTTCTATACACTAACATCTTGTTATGTATGATACTTTTTATAGACTTTGCTGAAGAAAGAGGAACGAGCGAGGGAGAAAATGTTAGCAATAAGACGTTACTTGGTGCTGTTATATTTACAGCTGCTTTAACTATGGTTTTTACAATATTGATAAGTGTAGCTGTCATGTACATTATCAATCGACGAAGATATACAACTTTAAAAAGATGTGAGAGATCTGATGCTGCTACCTTACAATCACATGCAATTGCTGATTCTCCGACTCAACATTATATTCCAATTACTGATACATATTCAAACGACTCTTCTCGCACTTCTTCAACTTACGCTGGATCGTCGGATACGCAAACACATTCGGAACTTACATCGTGTTCTGATAGTAGCTGGAACAAAGAACTTTGTAATGGATCGCAAGACGGTCAGAATTCATCTGGAGTTTGTTCCATAAATAGTGGCAGTAATAGCTCCCTGTCTTCAACTCTTAATCATCGTAATACATTTCCATTTTCAAATGTGAAAACATTTCTTTGTCCTGGAACTGGAGATGAGTTATATGAAAGAACCAACAATCATGAATTGATCTACACTCCCGAGCAGCTCCAACAAAAACAATTATTTCAATTTAAAATAAATGAAAAGTACAGTCCATGTAGACGGAAACATTGTTCGTCATCACGTGGGAAACCGCCTAGGTCACGTGTTAAAGGATTTCCAAGGAGTCGAGAAGAGGAAAAAGTTACGGTCTCTCAATACAAACATGCAAAAAATTTAAAAACTGACTTGAAAATTTCAAATGATACCGTCTTATAGAAGGCAGAAAAAGATTTCTTTCAAATATTCTTTAATTGCAACACACATTTTTCATTCATCATTTTGCTATTTAAATATAATCTTTTTTTTTCTATTTCACAAGACAGTGTATTAATTTATTTTTTGTGTGCTCGTAAGTATCACTGCTTTGTATTTATGTTTCCTAAAAAAATGTTAGAACATGTTTGAATAAGGTTTCGTATGATAAAATGCCTTTCCAGCTCAAAAGTTTGTAAAAAGTGTGAGGATAATGGAGAGTTTAAACGATGGAATGACCATGGAAAATCCGTCATTTGAGGTATTTAAATGAAAATTACTCAACTTATAGAAGCTTGTACTTTGGTAAATAGACGAAAAGTTTGTACAGCGAATCTAACAAACTTTCTCATCTAGACATTACAGAGCATAATAAATACTTCCGAGAATGTCAGCAGGTGTGTTTTTTTTTTTTGTCAAAGTGAGAAAATGAATTACGAAGGCAGAGCAGAGTTGATTTTTCCTACTCTCCTAGAAAAACTCTGAAAAATCATCTGTGCTTATTTCTCAGTCATACAATTAATGTTTATTATTAATTTCTACCAGATCACTCTTTCACCCATTCGTTTCACCACAGATCATCGCTTTCGCGTCGTCGTCTTACGACTTCATGATTTTGAGTGATGGAAACGTACAGCTAAACTTGAAAATATATTGTCCTTTGAATTTTGGATAATTTAAGTTTAGTCCCGAATATTTTTAAATATGTATCGTTTACTGGTGAAAAATGCAAAGCAAGTTGTACTGGTATGTAATAAAGGTGAAACTTTGTTAAAAGGAAATTCAATGAGTAATGTTGTCGTACTTAACGAAGGCTATAGTTTAGTAATTGATGAACAAGGAAACCTGGCTTGTATAGATGTAAATAATGTTGTTTATGAAAAATATTCAGAAAATGATTTTGATAAAATAATAGATGCTACAGGTTGCAGTATAATCCCAGGTAATGAAATTTTTTCTACCTTCCCCATTATTGCTGTGAGGAGATTTTCATTCATTTCTTTATGTAGGTTTGGTAGATGGTCATACCCATCCCGTATTTGCTGGTGATAGAGTGCATGAATTTGCTATGAAGGTGTGTTTATTTGGAAGACAAAAATAGAAAAGGGCAATTGTAAAATGTGCAGTCACAAAAATATTTATCTTCAGTAGTTGGCTGGTGCATCGTACTTGGATATTCACAAATCTGGAGGTGGGATCAATTTTACTGTCAGTCATGTTCGGAAAGCAAATGAAAAACAACTTTTCGACAGTCTCAGAGAAATTTTGATGCGTATGTTGAGAGCTGGAACAACATTAATGGAAGCAAAGAGTGGCTATGGACTTGACACTAAAAATGAAATGAAGATGCTAAGGGTATTGGAAAGAGCAAAAAATGAACAAGCTATTGAAATATCAAGTACATATTGTGGAGGTCATGCTATACCACTGTATGTATTTACTACATTACATCAGTGAACTTTATTTTACTGTTTGTTGTTTATATAATATAATCTTTATTTCATTATAAGGGGCTCTACTCCTGCTGAGGCTACACATGATATTATTACAAAGCAGTTACCTGCACTGAAAAGCCTTATGGATTCAGGGAAACTTCATGTAGACAATATTGATGTGTTTTGTGAAAAAGGTGTATTTGAACTCTCAGATACAGAGAAAATACTGAAGGCGGGGAAGAAAATTGGTTTGGCAATCAACTTTCATGCTGAGGAGTTAAATCAACTTAATTCTGTTGAGGTTTTAGATGATGTAGCTTAATTTCTTATATTTTCATCATTATAAATATTTCGTTTGTTTTCTTTAGTTAGGAGTGTCACTTGGAGCAAGATCAATAAGTCATCTTGAAGAAATAAGTGAAGAAGGAATCAAAATGATGGCATCATCCTCAAGTGTTGCTGTTGTTTTACCAACAACTGCCTATATATTAAAACTATGTCCACCTCCAGTAAGAAAGATGATTGATGAAGGTGTGCTTTTGTTGTACATCATACTACGTATATATGTTTTGGGGTATTATATATGTATGTATAGCATATGATTCATGGGGCTATGATGGTATTACAGTGTGCGAATTAGTTCAGAAAAAACGATGTGCAATTTTTTTGACAAAAGTGTTTCTTTATAGGCATAATCAAATTGATATTACGTTAATTATATAGCGCTAATTGCTAAATTAATATTTTTAAATGTGAACAAATTCATATGATTTACGACAGTGTTTTTCGTTAAAACCGCTGATTTTTGCACATCGTTTGAAAAAATGATGTGCAATTGTTTTCATTTTAGATAAAACGATGTGCAAATTGCACATTGCACATTGTTAATTCAAACATTGTATTATAACATTCATTTATGATTTTCATGGGGTTATGATGGTATTATACATTTATTACATATAATTCAGGGGCATGTGATTCTGCTGTTAACCTGTATTACTGTTATAAATCCTAAATTTAACCATCATATTTTAGGTGTTGCAATTGCCCTTGGTTCTGACTTCAATCCCAATGCATTCTGTGTGTCTATGGTATGTATGTGTACTATTTATTGCATTTTCAAATCTGGCTGATGGCAACAATGAAAATTTATTCATACATAAATGATTAATTCATGGATAACATTAATTATAGCCACTGGTGATGCATCTAGCCTGTGTATTGTATGGAATGACCATGAACGAAGCACTTGTAGCAAGTACGATTAATGCAGCAGCATCAATAGGAAAATCACATTCTCACGGATCTTTAGAATATGGTAAAGTTGGTGATATCCTTATTCTTGACTGTCCAAGGTAATGATTTTATCATTTCACACAATGAACACTTACACAGTACTAAACTTTGAAAATTTACTTTGAAGATGGGAACATCTAATATATCAATTGGCTGGTCATGATCATGTGATTAAACATGTTATCAAGAAAGGACGTGTGGTATATTCTCGTCAAGACCAACCATAAATTGTGAGTTAAGTTTATTATTTACATCATACATAAGACAAGCATTCATTTCTAAGTCCTTTACCACAAGTAGAGCAGTACATTAAAATCCCATACATACATACGTATTACCCACAGCCTGGCATTATTTATACATTTTTATCATTGTTATGTGTTATCATTAATGTTGATGACACATGATGACCATGTATACGTGTATGTAAGCAAAGAGCTACATTACTTCTGAAGGTCATGCAACATTGCTTACATTTATACTGTCCTTCCCTTGCATCTTCTTCCTTATGATTGCTAAGTTCATACAGAGTTTTACATTCTTGATCACATTGTGTACCAAATGATTGCTTGTGTTTGCTACAGACATTTAATGAAAGTTCTTGGTGATTTTTGTAACCTTTGATGCTTTTTGGACAGTATTTATATCCTTTATACAATCCTTCTTTTGATGGCAATGAATACCAACGTCCCCTGTGATACATTGAATTTCTATATTTAAATGCTAAGCTTGGTGTTTCTTCCGATGTAGTTGTAGGTAATTCTTCTTTCACCAATGTACTGCAAACTTCATTCTTCATTGAACTCGTAGCTTTACTTTTTTCATTTAAGGAATTAACAATTTGTGTTTCGTGTATATTCTCTTCGCTACCTTCTCTATTTCTGTGTTCACCTGTGTGTACCATGTTCACTCCGATACCTCCTTTATCCATCTGTGTACTATACATATTGTTTTCGGTGTTTGTCCATTTTCTTTTGGTCATATGACAACTACCATGGTCAGAATGGCGGCGTTTGTGGTAACTTCTATCGTGTGTCACAATTCCCTTTGGTGGATTTACTCCTTTAAATATAAGAAATCGACTTTAAAACTACGGTAATTACGCATTGTTTCGCTTAAACGCCATATTCTTAGACAGTTCCTATTGTTAAAAACTACGTGTATATTCTACCTTTACTTCCGGTTTCATTTAATGCCACTGGTATCCCAAATATCATGGAATATTTACTGTCATACCAGACAAGAAGTTCTTCTCCAATTCTTACGTCTTTTATGGTTCTGTAGTAGATACACCCATGATATTGAAATATCACCATGTTCTGCTCATAACTATCACGTGCACAGCGTATGAAGCGCATCCAGCTCGAGTTGGAATGATCACGTGCATCAAGATAGTGACTTACTTGCCCATCGTGAAATATCTTAAATTAAAAATTATGTCTTTACCGGTTTTGCAACTTAAAAATATTTACTATAAACTAAATTATACCTCCCACATATACTATAAACTATACTGTACCTCCCACATATACTATAAACTAAATTATACCTCCCACATATACTATAAACTATACTATACCTCCCACATATACTATAAACTAAACTATACCTCCCACATATAGTATAAACTATACTATACCTCCCACATATACTATAAACTAAACTATACCTCCCACATATAGTATAAACTATACTATACCTCCCACATATACTATAAACTAAACTATATCCCACATATAGTATAAACTATACTATACCTCCCACATATACTATAAACTAAACTATACCTCCCACATATAGTATAAACTATACTATACCTCCCACATATACTATAAACTATACTATACCTCCCACATATACTATAAACTATACTATACCTCCCACATATACTATAAACTAAACTATACCTCCCACATATAGTATAAACTATACTATACCTCCCACATATACTATAAACTAAACTATACCTCCCACATATAGTATAAACTATACTATACCTCCCACATATACTATAAACTAAACTATACCTCCCACATATAGTATAAACTATACTATACCTCCCACATATACTATAAACTATACTATACCTCCCACATATACTATAAACTATACTATACCTCCCACATATACTATAAACTAAACTATACCTCCCACATATAGTATAAACTATACTATACCTCCCACATATACTATAAACTAAACTATACCTCCCACATATACTATAAACTATACTATACCTCCCACATATAGTATAAACTATACTATACCTCCCACATATACTATAAACTATACTATACCTCCCACATATAGTATAAACTATACTATACCTCCCACATATACTATAAACTATACTATACCTCCCACATATACTCTGTATCGATTTCATCTTTGATTTCTTCTGGTCGTACAAGTCTTCCTTCGTATGGACCTATCCATGTTCCAGAAATTATCTCGATCTTTGCACAGACACCATACTCAATTCCAGGAATGCTTGATGTGCACAGACCGACCTCATCCGGGAACTTTAAAATGGAGCTGTAGTCAATTGTAGTTGTCGAATCCGTATGACTTCGGCTGACGAGTTTGCGCAGTGAGTGTAACGGTGCATGCATGGGGCATTCTTCAGGACGTTCGTTGCATATATCGCACCCTGTTTGATAAAATAATAACAAATAGTTGTTTATCCTTGAATTGTCTGCATCATGCACAGAAGTATTTCATTTACAAAAATTTTCTTTTGGTTGTTTGTCTATCTCGAGATGCTTGATTCCTTCCTTCTTTAGTTTTGTCGTATCAATGAGCTGAACATCTTTCCTTCCATAAAGATACAATCGCAAATCCTCCATTGTAAACATTTCTTTTTTTGAAGATGATGTTGGTCGCAGCTCGATATATTCTGACATTTTTTCTTTTGCAATGAAGATAACAATTTGCTTAGAAACGCCAAACAATCTTGTCGCAAGTTTTATTCATACATTTTATTAAACAATGGCTTGTTGTTATCATACAATTTCAAGCTTTTATCCACTTTTTGAAATTACTCTGAATATTCTTCTGGGAAGTTTCTCAGTAAAAAATATTCGTTTTTTAAAATGTTTTTATCTTAACTTTCTTGCTTTGCTTTAAGCAAGAACTTAAAAGTCATCATCAATAAATCAACTGCCAACCGTCTTCACCTTCAATAATTAATGATCATTAATAAATAAAATTTCGGCTAGTGACTCGTTTTCCATGTGTTTTATTCACGATTCTCTGGTTGGCTGTCATTTTTATGAACAATATTTCATTTAATATGCATGAATGAAAAATCGCAAAACAACCTGTGTACGAAATAAATTATTTAAACTGAAGATATTTTGTTCTATCCGACAATTATTAAATGAAATAAAAATAACGTTAATTGTAAAATAAACCTTGGCTAAACAAATATTTAAATATTTAATTATTTTAATAGGTACATCAATATAAGATATATTTTTTACGTTTTTCTGGTTAACTAGCTGGATAACTTTGTAGTATTATAAATTATGCATTTGAAAGTAATTTGGTGAATTGAACAGGCGGCTTTTTGCGTACAGATTACAGTTAACATCTAGAAATTATGACGCACATCTAATTCTGAATGAACAATTTTGTTGCTGTATTTCGATGGAGCATGAAACCGCCTCTATACACATTTCTTTCATTAAAAATTAAAAGATTTTCTATATTTTAAAGAGATATTTATTTATAAAAAATATTGCTTGTGTATTCATTATCATTTATCATACAACACGTCTTATCTCCTTAACAAGAGTAAATTTTATTTTACATTTATTGACGTATGCGATACAAAAATATATTGTTTATTGTTCTTTAAATTGTTCTTTTCACATCCTGAACAAGTACAAGAATTTTTCAAATTAGTTTTGCACGCCAACTAAACTCTCAACCTGTTGAAGATAGCGAAGCTCCAAAGGTAACGGACGCTGTTTATGCTGTGATACAATTTCACACTAAGAAAAAAAAGCCCATTATTATTACGGTTCGTGTAAACGATTCTATTAGTTGCTCACTCATTCTATGAACATACAAACTTACCCCACTATCACTAATATTCGATGTAGTTCTCGAGTTGACGTCATACTGATATCCATTGGTGACGTCATAGAAATAAGAGTCGGCGTTCCATAAAGATTTATCAAGTTTTAGAAAATGTCCTTCTGTAGTGAAGATATATTTCGAGGCTTGTTGGTTTACAGGATTTTCACGGTCAAATAACTTGAAGATAAAAAAGAGAGGATCTTCATGATTGATTCTTAACATAATCAGAATTTCTACCGTCTACTTACAAGATATAAATATTTCAATGTTTCTGATAAGAAAAAGCTTTCCATTCTGTCTTCCTGAGATTTATCCATGACATTGTGCAAGGTAGCATAACCGCATCTTTAACAAAATGGTTCAAAACTAAACGTACGTACAATGTATAACTTTCTTATATCATATTACCAATAATCCTTTCTTACCGTTACATTTTACACATCTACATAAACTTTCACAGATTTCAAGTGTTAATATTGTATTTATGTACCTTGCCTTTGCGTGCTTCTGTATACTATTTATTATATCTTTGCCGACATGTAGATAAAATGGATGTTGAGTTGCCTGATACAGAAGATACGTCGACTCAGCTAGTTCAGGTCTCAATGGATAAAAATGTACATGTGACATGCCCGTGTTCCAGTCAAATCTCTCTGGTAATGCACCATATCTTTTCCATATGGCGTAGAAGAGTGCATGTGTGCAGATAGCATCTTCTACATCCCCATTTAAAACCTAAAAACCATTGAATGAAGATTTAGCAGATGGCGTTGAAGGTCGTTTTCTCATGTTTCTGATTTATAATAAAACAAGCAAACCTTATTTAAAAAATAGCTCTTAAAACACACGGTGCACCTGTGGTATTAGTCATCTAGCTACTGAATTACAAATGATTTACCTGTACAGCAGCAAATGAAGCAGAGAGGGAGTCAATCCAAGTATTTATTATTTTGCCATCATTCATATTAACATTTACAAATATTGGAACATCACCATTTCCAGAGTTACATAAATGACGGCTGAAATATTAATGAGGTCTATGTTACACAGCAAACAATTTACATATGCTTATGACAAACATTCTAACCCTTTTCTCATGTACATATTCACACTTTTGTACAAGTCATTGAACTTCTGCAAATCATTAGAATCACCAAAGAGAATATAACTCTAGAAATAAATTATCATCAATTTCATTCATACAGTACATAATTTGAACACATTACTAATGAGGAATTTTACCTTTAATAAATACTCATAAATAGAGTCCATTCCTGCTCCTATACCACTCATGTTTGAAACCCATTCACCAGTGATGACATTTATAACATTACCTGAAAACCATCACATAAAATTCAATTGTCTTTATTCACTTGGGCATCTGGCAATAATAAGATAGATATCTTATAAATATTTGAACTGTAATAACATAATTGCCTGCCTAACAAGCCGGTCTTCTTTGATCGGAATTTCCAAATGCCTTCCAGTGCATTTTTTGCTGTTATCTCGTAAGTTGGGTCACCTAACAGACGACTTAGTGTTCCAAATTCTAGCAGTAAAGTACCTACACCAGCAGTACAGGTTGTTTTAAATAGCTTCTCTGGAATGCCATGTTTCAAATTAACCTATATATGTAATTAATGATTTTATCATGAGATATTTTTTAAATTGCAGAGTTTGATTTTAGTTCAATGATGATGACACAAACCCTTGGATAAGGAATACCATGTGTTGTATTGTCAAATGCACAGAGTAAACGATTTGCTAAATCATGCGCCATTAACAATAGTTCATCATTATAATCATTGGGTATCATATTGCCAAATGGTTGCTGGGGATCACGAATGATGAGATGCGCAGAAAGCAATCCACCAAGGACTCTATGTAACAAGAGCAAGAAAATAAATTCAAATGAATGTAAGGTAACAATAACTGGTAATTTGTTACCTTATTGTGACTTCAAAAACTTGCACTGTAGTATTCTTATCAAAAGAAACATTGTCCATAACTAATTTGACTGCACGTTTAAATTCACTAATATTTCCCATAATCTAAAGAGTAATCAAAAGTCTTCTTCAAATAACATCGAACGGATATTATTCAAAAAGGAAAAATCACTTACGGCTAATGTGCCTAAGGATTCAACAAGTGACAAAGAATAATCCCCAAGTACATCATTAATATTGATATTTGACCTAAAGAATAAAACAAATTAATCAAAATCTAAAGGTCACGAGGATAAAAAACCCCAAAAATCGTAAATACACGATAGAGGAAGGGAGTCAAAGGTAAATCATAAATTACATACGGGTTCTCATAATCCGGTCCTCTGCCTGTACAATGTATTGGATCCAACTCATCCATTGGATAAGCATATTTTATGTAGTTATCGTAGCCAAAGTAAAACATTTCCTTCGCTTCTTCACGTAATTCAATTCGCTCACTTTCACTGAAATAACTGTATGTCGTTGTGTACTTCCGCCATTGCGAGCCATTTTGACGAGAAAACAGCTTGAATACGTCAAAATTTTCTACAAAACTAACTAGAAACGCTAAAATAGAAAAATAATGAATTTCCATAAAACACAGAAATAATCTACGATGATAAATCAAGCATTTTTTCTTTAATACATTTAATTTTTTTTACATGCCTGTGGTTAAATTTGTTTATATCTCATCAAATGACGTAACAACGCGTTTGTTTGATCTCAAGCTATTAAAAGTACCTGGATAGATATCCGCTTCGAAAGAAGTGTGGATAATGTGGAATGATGAGGGGTAGTGTAGTTGACTGGTATCAGCAATTCAGCATCTTTTATGAAATTCCGACCACAAGTATAAGTTACAGAGTAAATTTTCTGTGAATTTTTTTTAATTCTTGCAATGCCAGTGGAAAATCTCGAAGATGAAGGTCTACCTAAGAATCCGAACCTAGAAATAGCGCAGTGGAAGTACAGTTTGATGGCTTCGCATGGTGAAAATAAAGATATTGCGAATAAACTGATGAATGCCATCAAAACACATAGTAAGTTTTTTCCTTTTAATCATAAAATTATCAGACTTCGATGCAATGATTTGTACTGATGGCCACTTTAGATATGGCACCATTTTATGAAGAAATATGTCCAGAAGTTGGATGGACTATTGATCAGACATTGCTTGATAATATTAAGAAGGAAAATACTAGGAATCTTGAGAGTTTGGAGAAAGCCATTGAAGATGCAGAAACCAATCTTGGAGAAACTGAAGTCAGGGATGCATTACTTGAAAAGGCTGAGTATCTCTGTAAGATTGGAGACAAGGTATATACATTAACCACTAACTTTTTTCACACATTATGCATTATCCGCAAGTTATATGTAGACTTTGGGTGCTCAATGCCAGTTTAAAAACTTTACATTCTGGTGTATGTAACATGTGTCTCATCATAATCAACAACTGATTGCTTAACACAGGAAGGAGCTTTGCTTGCTCTACGAAAGACATTGGAAAAGACTTCAACAACTGGTTTTAAACTGGACATTATGTTTTATTATTTGCGTATTGGCTTATTTTACATGGACCATGATCTTATCACTAGAAACATTGAAGAAGCCAAAAGGTATCACTTGTTCTCCATATTATGTATCATTTCTAAAGTTACTGAAAATTTATCTTCTTTATGTAGTTTAATTGATAAAGGAGGAGATTGGGACAGGCGAAATCGTTTAAAAGTTTATCAAGGAATTTATTACATGTCCATTCGTGATTTTAAAAAAGCAGCTGACAACTTTCTTGAGTCAATTTCAACTTTTACATCATATGAGTTAATGGATTACCAAGTGTTTGTTTCATATACTGTTTTAACCAGTATGATTGCTCTGAAACGTACAGACCTACGAGAAAAAGTAAGTACAAGGATTCTACTTTGTTTTACCATCACATGTATAAATAGCTAGCCAAAAGTCAGCTATAAGTTTCAATAAATAAATCCCATAAGTATTTGGCTCTTTTTATAGAAAGTAATGTTTTAATAAAGTAATGATTTTTCACCAAATTAAATAATATTTTTTCAATCATTTTTTATTGATTTTATTATTTTTTAGGTTGTAAATGGATCTGAAATACTTGAGATGCTCCATCAGCTTCCACTTATTAAGGACTTTCTTATGTCTTTTTATCATTGTCATTATGATGCCTTCTTTTCTTCATTGGGTGAGGTTTTCTTTGACAAAAATTTTTTTATTGATTGATGATGTTCAACAAAGTAAATTTTCACAATTTCCACAGCCAAAGTTGAACAAGAATTGAAAAAAGATCGCTATTTCCATCCACATTATCGTTACTACATACGTGAAATGAGAATTCTTGGCTACAGTCAATTGTTGGAGTCATATCGTAGTCTTACATTAGAGTACATGGCCAATGCATTTGGAGTTAGTGAAGCATTCATTGACAAGTAGGTTCTTTTTAGAGTTGTTATCAAAATTGTAAGTTTTCTAAAATTATTATTGCCTGTCCATTAGGGAACTATCAAGATTTATAGCTGCAGGGAGATTAAACTGTAAGATAGACAAAGTAAATGGTGTTGTGGAGACAAACAGACCAGATCATAAAAACTGGCAGTATCAGGTATAAAGAAAATTTAAAGATGCTTCAAATAATGAAACTCTACATATATGATAAACTTCAATCTCTTTTCGTTTAGTCTGTTGTCAAACAAGGTGATCTATTGTTGAACCGCATACAAAAGTTAAGCCGTATTATCAATGTATAATTTTACTATACTATGTACTTGCTTGTATCACTTGTCTGTTAAAAATCTCACTTGTAGTAGACATTTTTACTATTGTATTGGTGAAACATTTGTTCTAGTTTTTGTGTTTGAATTAATATAAAAAAAATATACTTGAAACAAAAACCTGATATTTCCCCTTCTCACATTTTATGTTAACATGTTGCATGTACAGTTAAGTATTTCCTGAATTTGAGTATCGGTGGTTAAAAATCATGAAATTTCCACGCAAGAAAGGATCATTTCATAAATATATAATGTTGTACAAGGTCTACTAAACAATAGTGCCATTTATAACATTGGGTTGTGGTTATTCGTTCATCTAAGTTCCTCAAATACTCTTCCTACATTTGATAAAGTGACATTTCAATGCATAAGCTTAAGCATTTGAAAATTGGAAGAAGCCCAGAAAAATTCATTACAGCCCCGATAATGAAGAGCACATTGGAGGATTTGAACGCAACTACCCCTCTATGTGTATGTTCAGAATGAATTGTAAAGTGGACACCAGACTGTCTCCAATCTTTTATAACATTAGGCAAAAGACTTATTGAAGAAATAAAGAACAGAAAATGTTTGTAAAAATACCTAGAGATGCCCCAAACAATGCTACTAATTCTACATCAAAATTACTAACAATTTTTCTTCATTGAGTTAAAGCCCAAGGCAGGCGAAAGAGAGAAAACCATGGTCCCTCTCCATGAGAGTTAGGTGAAAATGAGCCACTAGTCCCTCGATGTGACAGAATTGGTGAGTCTTGAAAGCAAGAATCTTTTTAACAATGAAATACATCCAATATCCCAATACTTTAACCATTTTATCAAATTTACTGTGGTAACTAGTTACCATTTTCTCCGGTTCTATTTTTGCATTTAAATTGTAGCAAAATAACAATGAGTGTTTTGCGTTGATTGTATATAAATGAGCAAACGAAATACAACTTTGTCCGATATGTGACAAAAAGAAACAAGTCCTTATCCTTTGTAAGTCCCGCCAATATAAACTCAGTATCCATTAATATCGTTGCCAATAGCCAGCTTAAACATTCCTATTTGTCAGTAGTCAAAACCTTTGAAATGATGAATAGTCTGAACATTCAATTGACTGGCCACCATTATGATCACTTGCGTAGTAAGATTTACATGCCACTAAACTTATTCAACGGAGTGGTCTTACTGTATCTTTCTCATACTGTCCTACTTTAGTACTTTACATACATACTTTTATCAGCTGAGTAATCCAAGTTCTCTTGTTTACCCTTTAACGAATGGCTACATGTACGTACAGAGTACCTATTTTTGTTTTATTTCCAGTGTCCAGTCCTCGTTGTGTTGACATCGTTTTTTCATCGTTGTGAAGTGAATTGTTGATTTTTTTGTTTAATCTGTTCCTGTTGGCTGTAGTTGTTGCTGCGAATCATTGAATACTGTTGCACATCTTTATTAATAAGCTCTTTTTTTGAACACGATACTTTTCGGCTGTGATAAATACTAAAAAAAACCTCGTTCATCATGGCGGTAAGTTGAAACTTGGTATATTTTATACTACACACGTGCTACAAACTATAAATGAATTTACTGGGTGAGTTTCTATTTTTGATTATTTTTTTATTGTTATTCAGACTATGCCTTTGAACCCCAAACCATTTTTAAATGGGCTGACTGGTAAACCTGTAATGGTTAAGTTAAAATGGGGCATGGAGTATAAAGGATATCTGGTTTCTGTAGATGGATATATGAATCTACAGGTTAGTTCACTTGTTTGAATTTCTTCTCTTTAAAAGTTTGCTCAGTTTCGTAATACATGTAGCGCTATTAGTAAGATGAGGGGTGCCTTCACCCTTTTTGTTTTTACATCGTCTTGTGTAAAATTTGGATTATTTTGTATGTGTAGTTGGCTAATACAGAGGAATTTATCGATGGTGCTTTAACTGGTAACCTAGGAGAAGTTCTGATAAGGTAATTTCAAGTAATAATTACACAGACGCATCTATAATCAAGGAAACATTTATATGTTGATGAAATGCTTTTCTTTGCTTTTCTCTAGATGTAATAATGTGCTTTATGTGCGTGGAATTGAAGACGAGGAAGAAGATGGTGAAATGAAAGATTGAAAAAGATGTATGCCATTGATAGAACACATCAAGCATATTGTGGTAATAACAATTGGATTTAGTACTGTTAGTCAAACAAATTTCTTTATGGTTTTTCAACTATTTAGAGAAGTATTAAAGATTATGTATCATTGTTTTACATAAAAAAATTTATGACATTTTTTTGCAACAATAGAAGATAAGATAGAAAATATTTCATAAATTCCATAATACAGTTTAAGTAAAGAAATATTGCAATTCTTCTTCTTCCTTGGATTGCTTATTTTCAAAATCTTTTTCTTTCTTTCGTGTTTGTGGTGGTTGAGAACGGAACATTAGTTTTCGTCCAGTCTAAACAAGATGCAACAAAATGATCAGACATTGTGCTATTCTCCTGTTTGACACAGGTAGTTTCAAACCTTTTTCTTTGGCTCAGCTCTTGCTCTTTCTAACGCCTTTTTAACTCTTTCTTCTTGATGCAATCTTTGAGCCTCAAGTTTTTCTTCTCGCAGTCTTAGGCGTCGTTCCTTTTCTTTTGCCTAAAGTTGTGTAATAATCTATTGAAAATGAACTGTTGTGGTTTGCAATACAAAACAAAAATCCTTACCTTCTCAGCCATCTCAACTTTTTCTGGGGGCATCATTTCTATCTGCTCAAACAATTCTTCAAGGCGATTTTCAATGTTTGTCAGCATTTGTAAAGTACTGTAATAAAGAACAAAGCCATTAAAGATAATTAATTCTACAAATACATCTAGCAGTTAAGCTAACCTACCTTATATTGGCTTCATTGTCACCTATTGTGTTCCTATACACTTCTTCAACTTTCTTGTTCAGTGCTTTCAACATTTTCTCTTGGTCTTCTGCCTTAAATTCACCATATGAAAACATTCTGAAAGAAAAGATTACATATGTAAGTTAATAAGTATCAAATCTAAAATTGAGAATTAAAATGTTACTTTGATTTCATTTCCAAGTCAGCACATTTTTCTTGCTCATTTTGAATTGCATCTTTTAACAGTGATATTTGTTGTTTTAAAACTTCTGTTTCTTTTCCCCTGAAATATGTTATTCAGTTTTTACACTTGTGTTTAAAGATAAGAATTATATTGGGATTCCATCGCACATTTTTTGTTTGGTTTGTTCTGTAGTCTGCTTGAGTTCTTCTAAAGCTTCCTCTGTTTCTTGGCTGTTTTGAATCAATGAAAGATTCTGTTCTTCCAGTTCAGTAAAGATGTCTAGCAACTGTTGTGGGTCTGTGAAGTATAGTTCTGGTTCCTATTAGAACATGTTCATTTTAATTACTTGGTGATTGTGTTAGCAGATATTATCACAGAGAAATGTTTTACCTCGTCACTGCTATCTCCCAACAAAAACTGATGTGAAGTTGGTGACAGTGAATGCTCAGAGACACTCTCCACCTGAGAATAACCTTTACTTGTGATGGATGAAGGGATGGGCTTTATCTAATAATACCATTATAAAAAATACTAATTTTTTATAATGAGATGTGCTTAGCCAAATCCATGCAAATAACAATAACCTGAACTTTACTATCTTTCCTGTTTTGTTTGCTCTGTTTCTTTTCTACTATAGATCCTGATAGAAGTCATAAGAATTGCAATATGAAACTATTTAGAAAGGTTGGTTTTTTGACATAGGCAAAAATCCCATAAATAAATAGAACCATAACATCTGTAATCACTTCAAATTTTACACTACCTTTGTCTAAAAAAGTGCTTGGTTTTGTTTGAAGTTCTTGAGTGCTTTTTTGCTAAAACATTAACACTTTTAAAACAAGTTTCACCACTATTAATTCACATTCATTTCTTTCATAATAAGACACACCTTCACAGCTCTTTTTAGTTTGAGTTTTTCATTGAATTCCTTAAATAATACACATATTAAATATGAGGAAAATAATTTCTATGAACTACTGTATCAAGCTCTTACAGGAGGAGTCAGTGAGTCCAAAAAATGTTTGTATAACAAGTAATCCTTTAATGTGTCTTCATACTTTGAAATTTCACTGAAACAAAAGTTATTCTTTTAAATGTTGAAGAGCAATATTTCAATCATGTATTTACTACCTTTTAATTGCCATCATTTGGGCATTAATTTTTTTAATGTCAGACACTTTCTCCAGTTTCGCCTTGGTTTCATTTTCAGCTCTAAGTTAAGGTATGAAAATTCATTAAAAAAAACTTGATGTACATAAGTATGAACATGGTAAATTGAATTATTTTTGTCATCATACATTTTGATGGCATCCACAGCATTTTTATCATTTTCTTTGAGAAATTCATCAAACATTTGAGCATCCTCTTCGAGATATTGCTCAGCTATTTCCAGTTTTTTTTCTTCAGCCTGAGCAATCTCTTCCAATTTCCTCATTTCATCTCGTTTCACTCCGAGAGCATACTTTAATGGCAAAAGTCATTAAAGGCAAAGTAGCTTATCATATGTAAACATATAAATTACAAATTATTAAAGTACTTACCTGAACTAAAAACATTTCTCGTTTCTTGGCAATAAAATTAGAGAGATTTTCTTTTTCAACATTGCGATCTTAGAATAAATATGACATATCAATTATTCGCAACTTGGAAATGAAGCAACTACGAGGTGCAACTGTCCAACCTTTTGTGATGGCAAGGGTAAATTGTGGATCATCTTCAACAATACCATCGTCTTCCTTAGTGTTAACATCTTCATCATCGCTTAGAATATTTTCCACTATGTTCCTCATCTCTGCTGTCCTGGCATTGACACGAGAAACATATGTTGTCTTCTCGTGTACCTTAAGCTTCTGCTGCTCTTTACGTTGCTGTAGAAGTATCAGATGACAAATGATGCAGTAGCAACAGTTAAGTAAAACAACTACTCCATTCTAAGAAACCTTTTGCCTTGTTTCACGTTCATATTCACGTAAAGTAAATATGTCATTATCCAGTGGCACTCTAAACGGATTCTTGCTTGTATTGGACACATCTATAATAACATTGTGTTCATTGCAATTCACTTGAAGTGTATAAAAAAAGCTTTAAAATATCACACTCACTGGGTTTGGAATTGCTCATTGATAAAACTGGTGCTTGACTTTTTGAAATGGGTCCTGTGAAATACTTTGATAATTAATGTAATACCAGCGAGGAAGACATTAAAATAGCAAAAAATATTATAAATGACTTTATGTCATATCTTACGCGATCTTGATGTGTTTGAAAACAAACTAACGCCTGAATAGGAACGTCGAGATAAACCAGCTTCGCTTCTTGACATTTTTTTAGTTGTCTAACAAATCTAACAAGGTAGTTGAAAACATTTGATAAAATGTCTCATCTTTATCTTTCCAACCGTAACCAACTTTACAATTGAACCACTGATTGAACTTAACAACTGTATACAGTTGTTATGACAACATGACTGAACTCAAATGAAATTGGAGTAACAAGATCTTTTCATACTTTAAAATCATAGATATAGTAGTAGGACCTACTATATCTATGTTTAAAATGCAAAATGCCATTTAGACTCAAAATTTTAGCAATTTGAATGAAAATTTGCGCACCGTGCAGCACAACAACACATTGTTATTACCACTGGGTATTTATTACTAACTCGCCGTAATCCTAGTAGTCCCAAGGTTCCAAGCAGTGTTTTTCAAGTCTTTTCGGTCTAGTTGAAAATACTGCCAATGTGCAATTTCTTTGCTTCAGTCTTAGAAATTGTGGTGTAGATAGACTATGTATCATAAAACCGCGGAGTTTTCGGAGAAAGACATACTTTTGTTTAGGAAACAGAATGAGATTTTACGGAATTATTCCAACTCAAACATCAGCAGGTGAAATATCTGTTTTTGTATTTTCTCTTACAATCATCATTTCAATCATTGTTTTAAAGAATGTCTTTTCTGACTTGTTTACAGGTTACTTTCAGGGCATGTGGAATTTGATGAATTCTATTTCGAAAGTGATCCTATTTGGAAAGTGATAGTGATCCATGTTTACAGTGCAACAATCTTGAAGCTCCTTACAGCAATAGTAAAGTTTAAGCCATTGAGTCTCATGCAAGATTTTTTTCGACAAAACATATGGTAAAGTTTATTGGCAGTCACAACATCTCTGACACTTTAAATTCTACTGTTTTAACACTTTACATTATACGTTATTTATCAGTTCAATTCTCCTGCTGCTTGAGTCACTGCATTCTTGGTTACTGGTCTCAAGTACTCTCCTGAACTTGTGTTGATCCTAACGTTTCTAACTTTTCCAACCTCTCCCGGATAAACTTCTACAATGCATCCTAATGTCTACTTTCCTTGTACTGCATTTCCCTCGGCCACTATTACCACATCCTCCACTCACAAATTTCGTCTTCCTGATTCCATTTTCTCCTAGGTACAAGCAATGGAAAGGCATCTCTTGTACATCGTTTACAAAATAAGTCCACGATCTTTTCCACGAACTCCACCCTTCTTCTTGGGTTCTTCATTTCTTGGAATGGGCCTTGTGGTACTTCATTTGTTTGCATACAGCCCAAAAATTGCACCCAGCTTTTACATACTCTGAAATCATGAAAATATGTGAAAATGCATAAACTATATTCTTTGGCGCAAAAATGTGTAAAAATACATCAACTATAGTCTTTCGCATGAAAATGTGTGAAAATGCATGAACAATAGTCTTTGGCATGAAAATGTGTGAAAATGCATGAACTATAGTCTTTGGCATGAAAACGTGTGGAAATGCATAAACTATAGTCTTTGACATGAAAACGTGTGGAAATGCATCAACTGTAGACTTAAGCATGCAAGTGCGTAAAAATGCATGAACTATAGTCTTTGGCATGAAAATTTGTGAAAATGCATGAACTATAGTCTTTGGCATGAAAATTTGTAAAAATTCATGAAATATAGCCTTTGGCAAGAAAATGTGTGAAAATGCATAAACTACAGACTTAAGCATGCAAGTGCGTGAAAATGCATGAACTATAGTCTTTGGCATGAAAATGTGTGAAAATGCATGAACTGCAAAAGAATGGACAAATATCAAAATAAAAACTAATGTAATATGAATAAATTATGTTACTGAATGATATTTTAAATTTGATGCAGACTGATCTATAAAATCAACTGGAGTGGTGATTCAGAGCCGGGTTAACAAAGTATGTTACACGACGTGTAACAAAGTATGTTACACGACGAGATTGAAGCTGTGTTGATTGAATACATGGTAGTATGGTAGTAGTATGGCGGCAGCCATCATGTTGTTTGTGATCTATAAAAGTTTTAACACTTATGTTATTTTATTACATGACAGAAGATCAAATTGAAAAGCATATCCTTATCAATTTAGGGCTAGTTTTGAGCTTAAATTATGCTGATCTTAAGAGAAATTTGGAATATTTGGAGTTAAGTAGGTCGGAAGTCTGCAAGAGAAGTAGGTGTGTTTTGCTTGTTGTATTTATAGCAAAAGGCCATTATTTTTTGTGAAGACAATTAATTGATTTGTCTGTTGTGTTTTCTGAGGAATTTTACTTTTTCTTAAATGTTTTCAATTACACTTCTTTGTTTAGATATATTTTTATTTAGACAATCTGAAAAGGAGTAAGTTTAACCTAATTTTTAATCGGAGTTTCGATTCAAATCGGAAAATTTTGAAATTTCGTGTTGTTGACTTGCGAAATATAATTGATAGATGGCATTGTACCCCCATCACTTTATGGCTTTCACCAGGCAGAAATATTAAAGTAATGACTGAATGACGGAAATCAGTTGATGTGAGATAAAGTGCTCTCTTGTGATATTGATTGTTGAAATTGATTGATAATGAATAATAGCCGAATCTCTGTGGAAATATAAAACGAACTACAAAAGTGTGTAGTAGATAGAACAACTTTCATGTTATCAAGCGCGGAGAACTATGTACTATTTTGTTATTGGGCATTACACATAATGGTAAATGTCTTAAAAAAAATCTTTTAAAGTGAGTAATAACATACGTTTGCTGTTTCCGGTTGAACAATAGAAAATTATCACAAATAACTGAATTTTTACTATGGAATTTTTTGAGATTGGTTTACTTTTGTTTCATTATAGTAGTAGATAGATGACTTATTTCGAGTCTTAATTTCTTGACCTACATGCAGTAATGTAATTTTTATTCACCGAGAATTGTACCCTGACAATACACATTAAACGAAGGAATACAATTTGGCTCTCGCCTTTCCCTAGAACGAGATAAAGCGAAGTACATAATTGCAATGCACGCCAGCAAAATTCGACGTTTGAAATCCACGGTCAAATTTTACATTTTGGTCGAATAAAATTGCTTATTGTATTCGTTCAACACATGCAAAATTCGACGTTTGAAACAGGCCTAAGTTACACCCACGAAAATGACAAGTTTGACAGCTGATGACAATCATTTATATTTGGATATGCAATGCTTGGCTTGGTTAACGGTACCTCTGCATGTGGTCGGTCGTCGTAGGCGTTGTGTGATAATTAAATTAAAGAAGCAAGCAAACTCACCGCAATTTTATTCAGGCGAGAAGAAGGTTTGATGCTTTTTCATATGATCATGTGAGACTTTTCACGTGTAAAACATAACAGAAAGCGATTGTTTAATTTACATTTTGATCTCGCATGTTCCCGTCCATGTAAAAACCACGAATCTATAATTTTATGGAAAACGTTGAGAAAACTTTTTTATGTTTGTTTGACAAGATATATAGAGAGAAGAAAGAATGACTAGCTTAGCAGCTTTTGCAGCAAAACGTGTAAAGTAACTTGGACTGTGAGATAATGACTTCCACGTGTCTCATTTTGCTTCCTTTGAACATAACACTTTATATATTTAGTTTGATGAACTTCTAACAAGCAATTGGCAGAGAAGAAAGGGATCCGTTTTCAAACTGTGAATTTGTTAATTTATGGAAAGTATTGGTGATTTTCTTATGCGCCTTGCTGATGGACTCCTTACAAAATAATATCATTGGATTCTATTTTCTATATTTGTTATTCCCTTAAGACACACATGACAACCAAGAATTGCTGTTGTCAAAACTATTTTTATTGTTTGCCTGATGAGATGAAGACAAGAAAGAGCTTTGGCGGAAAAACGTGAAAAGTAAATTTGGAATGTGACATATATTGACGTCGGACATTTCTCGTTTTGCTTGTTTTGCAAACATAACTCTATATTTAGGCAATGTTACAATTCGTTCGTTGAAGTTTGGTGAAGAAGCCATTATCTTTAAAGCGATGTGGTAAGTTTATGTCATGTTTGTATATCTTTACAGATATAATCAACAACAACTCGATTTTCACGTTTGCCAGAGTCAGGAATACGTCTAAAAAGAAATATTGTGATGAAAGTCATCTCGTAAAAATCTATTGTATTTAATTATGGGTGGAACATTTTCTTCGACATTTCTACCAGGTGCTGTTTCAGTTCATTGAAAGTTCCGTTTATTCAAAACCATTTGAAATATGCGACAAGGAGAAATACTCTGCGGCGCCTTGCGCGTTTCGCATCAATATTCATTCAATTGCTTCAAGGTAGTAAGAATAATCGCGATTATTTAAGCGTCAATAAACTGATTTATAGAGTAATAATATGTACATTAAAAGAAGAAATTCTCGTTGTAGTTTTGCCACAGCCACAAACGAAGAATGTTTACGAAGCTCAAAGCCATATGTTGTAAGTACTTTGTTCATTACTACCCATTTATTAGCGGAAAGCTAAGCTGTTATGAATAACGCATTTTTAACTGAAACTGAATGTGATCTTTAGAAAAGTGTATAGATGTTTATAGATTTCATCGTTGAATGCGGCTTTCATGGCTTAAAATACAATCTGAAACTGGTTTCAAACACATTCTTTTTCTTTAAAAGATTGTTGAGCAGTAAAAGAAAATATATGGTTCACACTGATTGAGAAAGAAGATCTGTAAGGCTGCCAATAACTTGCGGTTTCTCTTGCATAAAAAGGAATGAACAACTACAATTTTACAAGTTTCGTTTTTCACACACGGTTTTTTTATTGTGAAATATTCTGTCTAATTCAAAGTGTTGTCCATCTACAACAAAATTCCCGGTAAAAATCCCCACATATCAATGCTTTACAAAAAGTCAACTTGGAAGATTAAAGAAAAGCCGTTGTTGGGGCGTGGTACGGATTGAAAATTTTCAATTTTATATGATGAATTTAAACATGTGCAATGAATATGAATTAATTTGATTGATGTTTAGCAATAAATTTAAATTGGACGTTGCACTTTTGCAGCAACCTTACGGTGGCTATTTCTTTTCTCTATATGACGTGTTTATAATAAAGTGATAAGTGTCGTCGTCGTCTCTACAATTCGCATCATATGTATGTAAAATAAAGTAAGTTTGGACTGTGATTTCAAAGTATACTGTGACTTTGATAATTTACGGAAAGTATTGTGGTTTTCATGCGACAATTATGATTGTTTGTCTGATGAGATGAAGGCAAAGAAGAGCAACTTTAAGGAGAACCGAAATTTCTCGTTTTGCTTCCTTCGCAACATAATTCTTTTTATATTTAGGCAATGTTACAATTCGTTCGTTGAAGTTTGGTGAAGAAGCCATTATCTTTAAAGTTAAAAGCCATGTGGTAAGGTTATGTTATATAATCTTTAGATAATTCTTGGCTTGATGTTTTTCTTCAATCATATTTAGCTTATATAATCAACAACAACTTGATTTTCACGTTTGCCAGCGTCAGGAATACTTTTAAAGAAGGTATTGTGATGAAAATCATCTCGTAAAAATCTATTGTATTTAATTATTGCTGGAAGATTTTCTTCGACATTTCCGACATTTATTCAGAACCATTTGAAATATGAAACAATGGACAAATACTCAGCAGCCTCTTGCTCCATCCTCGAAAAATAGATTTATAGAGCAATATACATTGAAAGAAGAAATTCTCGTTTTAGTTTTGACACCGCCATACACGAAGTATAATGTTTACGAAGTGCAAAGCCACATGTTGTAAGTAGTTTGCTCATTATTTCTCATTTATTAGCAGAAAGCCAAACCGTTATAAATAGCGCAACTTACACAATGCTTTATATTTACGAAAGAAATTTGTATTTTGAAACTGAAACTGAATGTGATCTTTTCAAAAGTGTAAAGATGTTTATAGATAGTCACAAAGATTTCATCATCAAACGCGGCTTTCATGACTTTAATTAAAACTAGTGATTTCGGCACACATTCTTTTTAACCACACATCATTCCTTTACAAAAAAGTCAACTTGACAATTGAGGAAAAGCCGTTGTTCAATAAAGCGAAAAGTGTCGTTCGTCGTGTGTAAATGTCGCATTGTATGTATGAAATGTTAATTTTTACTGTTTTTGAACTATAAAGAGCAAAACGAAGGCTTTTAAGAATATGTTGTCTTGTAATAATGAAACATATCATTTAATACTAACTATTTCGCTTTTTAATTCCTGTTATTTTGATGATTGTTTTAGGTGACAAGCTGATGAAAAAGCTTAAGTATCTGTTCAAGGATTATCGACGCTGGGAATAATTATTAAAATGTTTTTTTTTCTCATTCCTTTTTTTTTGCTTTAGATGATCATCGTGTGGTACAAGGCCTGCTCCTTTTCCCTCCCTTTAGCTAGGTGCGCTGAGAGAAGGTCCCTGACAAAGGACGGGTTGCGTGTTCTTCGGAGCTCGCTTTAACGTAACGTGGTCATGTCGGACTAGAGCGCCCCATTAGGCTCCCGCAATGAAATTTTCTGATAAAGATACATTCTTAGATAATTAAGTCAAGCAGTTAAGTTAAGAAAAGTTCCTTTGTTTGTCTGAGGGAGCAAAATAAAAGGGTCTATGTTATTGTGTGTAGTTGGTGTCATTGTAAGGTTTAAGCTGGTGAGTTTACAAATGTTTGGATAAGGTTTGGACGAGGAACCACCTTAGCCTTGAAGGTCAATACGGGGACATGTATCTTTGCAAAGGCGTCAACAAATCCATTAAGCCCACTTCCATCTCAGCAACAATGGAAGAAACTTGCGTTGCTGAGGTAAGTTTGCTTGTTTGCAGTTCTGTATTAATTATCGTTAATTGTATGTTGTTTTTTTTTTTCAGCTCTGCTGGCTGGGTGGCGTCACCGCACATTGACCCAGCTACCCAATGACTTCCCTGAATTTTCATTATGTGAAAACTGAAAAAAAAGAATGATTGTGCATGAATGAAGGAGTATTGGTACCAACCAAGTAAGGAGCATTACAACTTGTTACTACTTGTACCAAAATGGCAAAAAGATTTATTAACAATTGTGATTTTTCTGAACAATGGTGAAAGTGCATGTCAGCCAGCTTCTTTAACAGAAGGGGAGTTAAAAAGCTGTTCAAATTGCAACTAAGCATTGTGGGAATGCTTAGTTAACAATTTCTGATTTTGCCATATGTATTATTTTGTTTTTGCTTGTGAGTAAGTAACAAATTGTAATACTCAAGGTTAGGTAGGAAATTCTTCATTGACAAAGAAAAAATTCTCAACAATGTTAAAAAAATTTAATGTTAAAATTTTTTTGATTACATATTTCGACAATGTTTCACTTCTGACCATATAATTCCAAAATGTTTCATTTTTTAACACATGTTTCGAAAGTATATCATAAAAAACATAAGGCGCATGCGGGGCCACGACGAGCGGGGGAGGTGGTACTGTCACACGCCGGACTATGGATATACCTCTCTCTCGATCCCGATCTTAGTTAGGTTACGGAATAGGCTCCTTGTCGTGCAGGCCGAGAAGATAGAGAAGAATAAAAGGGAAGTTGTTATTTCTGTATTTCAATTATATGACTGTTTTGATTTCCTAATTGTATTTTGTCTCTTTAAGCACTTTTTGTTTAAGCTCATGCAAAATGAAGAAGGTGATGGATTTCGTTTGTGTGTGGACTCCCATAAAAGAAAGAAGAACAGGCTGCAATAAATGAAAGGAGTTGTAACGTCAAAAACTGGTTGGTTGTTGAAATTGTTGTTGTAATTGTTTATATGAGTTTATTTACATTCATGAATAATATACTTGAGATGATATTTCTTTTCTGTGCTTAATCATTTCAGAAATGAAAGCAACCTTTAGTTGTGATGTAAATCAATAGTGGAGCTAAATGACAATGAGGGGTAAATTACTCTGACAAAAGCGTACAAAGATTTCCTAGGTTGTTGTAATATTATGGAAAATTTCCAGAGAATTTATTTAAGTGATTTTTTCTCGTGTAGAAATTATTAGCAGCTTATGTACTGTTTGAAGAAGGAATTATTTCATTTCAACATGTTTTTTAAAGACGTTTCTAACTTTTGGAAATTTCCCAGGAATTTTTATAAATTAGTCCGAAAATATGTGTTTTATGACTGTAATGTTTGTTGAATTTTTGGTGATTTTCACCAAAAGTACGATAACTTGGAGTAATTTACCCCTCGTTGATGACAAGAAGCAAATGGACTCAAATACAGCGAATACGTTTCGACCATCTAAGCAATGGAGTTAAAGAAAAATATGTTGTGAACATCTCAGCAGTTGGACTAAATGACTATTTCAATGAAATGTTGATGTTGTTGGGGAAGAAACTGGGCTAAGTCTTAAGAGATTATGGGCTATAGATGAAAAACAGAATTGGTATGTTTTGTTATTGTCTCTTCAGATGTTTTTTTTAAGTACGAAAGTCGCTGCCATTGACGTTTGCGCTTCTTGGTTATGTTTTTGATGCCTGTTTTTTGAGAAAAGAAGAATTTCTTCCTAAGTGTTTTATGCGATTTTAAACCAAGAATTGAACTTCTGTTTAAGTTTCCCTCGCACAGGTTATTGAAGCGTTGTTGCGAATGGTTTTAATTCGCAGATATTGCTTTTGAGATGACTCATCGTCAAAGATTGTAAGCAGTGGAGTTCAATGTAATGAACATTGGTGCGCTACAAATGCAAAAGAAGTGTGTTAGAAAGAAGTAAAATCAATGGACTCTGGCTGCAAATGGAGTAATTGGGAAAAAATTGCACGTTGTGTCAGCAGATAATGGACAACAAACATGGTATGTTTTGTTATTGACATATGTATCAATATGCGATTTTTGCTACTTCGTTATATTTTCCATCTAAAATTTCGTCGCACTTTTTGCCTTACGATGCTTGTTTTTGATGACAATGCGGCTTCTGCGAAACTCTTCAAACCATGAGTTGACTTTGTTGTGTCAATTATTGAAGCGTTGTGTTGTAAATGGTTGTAATTTGCAGATATTGCTTTTGAGATGATTCATCTTCAAAGATTATACATTCTTTTAGTAACATTCTTTTTTGCCATTATTTGAGAACCGACGATGAGCAATTTGAATAATGGTAACGGTATTTTTTTGCGTGTTGTATATGTTACAACCCAATTTAAACACAAAAAATCTTCATTTTTTTTTACTTCATCAAAATGAAATATGTTTAATATATGTTTTTGTGTTTAAAAATCTATTGGAAACACATTCTATTTTCAGATGCCGATACAAGTGAAATTGAAGTGAAACGATGATAATAATGCTGTTAATGGTAATTGTTCAAGGAAAACCAGCCCAGAATGATGTTCAGTGAATATTGCTTGTGGTAATATAGTTAAGATTATAGTTTGGCTCCACTATAAGTATAATTGTCAATCTAAATAAAGTTGGAAGTTCCCCTTCCTTCCTACTTTATTTAGATGAAGTTTAAGTTAAATGCTTTGTCTGTCAAAATTGCCCCACACAATTTTGATAGATAAATGCAATAAAATAATATTGTAAATTGTCTTTTTGTCAATAGTTTAAAGTAATTATAATACTCCTGTAATGATCATAATGAATTGATAGACTGTAGATAAAAACCGGAATAAGAATTGAAGTAATATGAATAATTTAAATAATTTACTGAATAATTTGTATAATTTGATGAATATCGTGACCTGTAATATAATCTGCAGTATTAAGTAAGTCAAGGGGGGCCGAAGAAAGTACAGGGAAAGCAGTAAGTCAGGGGGGACAGCGAAGGCAGTACAGTGAAAGCGGCAAGCAAGTAATGGTTTGAAGCATTAACGAGCTTGGTAAGTCGGGGGGGGGGGAATGAAATGGAAGTCATCGGATTAGATGGCGGCCATCTTGTTGTATGAGAACATTTGATAATTACTCGGTGGGTTTAATTTGATGGTAAATTGCGTTGATGTTATGAAAAATTCGCAATATTACTTCAGCGTGAAGTGTGGGGACGGATTAATAAGTGTGCAGCAGATAGAGTTATAAGCAGAAGTGAACTTTATGATTTAATATGACTACAACGAGAGGACAAAAGGTAACGCCATGTTTCACATTATTTCTTTTTCAGTTGTTTGCTTTGTTTCCACCTGACCGAAAAGTCGGTGTAAAATGTTCCTTTATGTTTCAAAAAGATTTCTTGCTCAAAGAGTTTAAATAGCTGAACCCAGTACATGATCACTTTTGAAATTGAAAGTTACAATGGACATATTTCATAATGGGCAATGACTTCACATTCAATTTATTCATCTCATTTGTTGAACTTTATGAGATATATACAATTTTTTTCCATTTCTCTTAAAATGTATCCAATGGGAATCTTTCTTACCAACAAAGGGTGTGGAAACCCTACTTTTACCTATTTGTCAGATTTTTTATAAGAAAGAAGCACAGAATATTGAAATGATACTTGTTGATTGAAATCAGGAAGGGAGGAAAACATTTTGAAAGCATGATAAGCGTACAACGGAATAGCGAGCAAATGAATGTGATCACCTTTGTGTGATCTATTGAAGTTTTTAATATTTTTTGTCGTTTTATCACATGACAGAGAATCAAATTCATATCCCAAAGTAAAAGGAGATCTTTGTCAATGTTCGTTTGAGCGCAAACTACGTCGACGATACATAGTAAGGGAAATTCGTTACATTTTATAAGTCGCCAAGTGTGGAGGGCACATTGCTGATCGCGGAATAATGCATTGTTAAGTATGAAAAAGAATGACAAGAGCTATTTTTATGCTGAATTCGTCGTCGTTGCGTCGTCGATATGAGAACTCCGAACGGCTACGTCAAGAAAGAGGACACTCAAGGTTGGGTATGTATTTAACTATACAATTACTCATCTACATCTACTCACCTTAAGTTTTAAAGCACTCACCCTTACTTTTAGATGACTCACGCTTACTTTTACACCACTCACCATTACTTTTACACCACACACCCTTACTTTTAGATGACTCACCCTTACTTTTAGATGACTCACCATTACTAAATAATATACATAGTGCCACACCGCTGACCTGATGTAACTGTACCACCATCTTCCCCATTAAACTTTAATGTCAAAACTCTGTCTGTTCTTTTGTAGTTTGTTGAACTTTAGGATGGCTGTGATTCAAATTACATTTAAAATTCTTGTGATTCAAAGATGATTGATTATAAATTTTTAATGGCTTGACATTCCTCATCCTCATCTAATTGATATATAAACAACAATCAATATTATTATGTTAACCATGAAAAGATAAAGCAATAGATAGTAATTAAAAAAAAATTTTAAAAAATGAAAATGAAGTTTTGTATTGTTGTTGCTTTTTTGGATTGTTCATTCTGAAACAACAACCCACCAATTTTACCATAAACATGTTTCGACTTGTTTAAGTCATCATCTTTTAGTATGCGAATGAAGTAAATTGTTTACAATGTCAAATTTATAATATAGGAGGATACATTGTACATGATACATATTAGTTAAAAAAAGTATACTAAAAATTTACACATTTCATTCTTAATTTTCATACTGAAGATGAAAGACTTAATGTAAGTAAAACAGCAATATTTATTGGAAAAAAATTTTTTGTTTATTTTAAACCTTCTTAAGCAGTTTCTCTGAGAATCATAAACATAAACTTCTGAGATAAAACATACATTGAGATAAAACATTGTCTTTACAACAAAAACCAATCACCTTTTGGTATAAATATAACAAAATAACACCACACACCTGCTTTTTTTCTGTCAGCTGGATGAAACAAACAAAGAATTGTTCTGTTTAACAACAACCTTGAGTGTCCTCTCTCTTGACGTAGCCGTTCGGAGTTCTCATATCGACGACGCGACGACGAATTCAGCATAAAAATAGCTCTTGTCATTCTTTTTCATACTTAAAACAAGCATTATTCCGCGATCAGCAATGTGCCCTCACACTTGGCGACTTATAAAATGTAACGAATTTCCCTTACTATGTATCGTCGACGTAGTTTGCGCTCAAACGAACATTGACAAAGATCTTCTTTTACTTTGGGATATGAATTTGATTCTCTGTCATGTGATAAAACGACAAAAAATGTTAAAAACTTCAATAGATCACACAAAGGTGATCACATTCATTTGCTCGCTATTCCGTTGTACGCTTATCATGCTTTCAAAATGTTTTCCTCCCTTCCTGATTTCAATCAACAAGTATCATTTCAATTTCTGTGCTTCTTTCTTATAAAAAATCTGACAAATAGGTAAAAGTAGGGTTTCCACACCCTTTGTTGGTAAGAAAGATTCCCATTGGATACATTTTAAGAGAAATGGAAAAAAATTGTATATATCTCATAAAGTTCAACAAATGAAATGAATAAATTGAATCTGAAGTCATTGCCCATTATGAAATATTTCCATTGAAACTTTCAATTTCAAAAGTCATCATGTACTATTCAGCTATTTAAACTCTTTGAGCAAGAAATCTTTTTGAAACATAAAGGAACATTTTACAACGACTTTTCTGTCAGGTGGAAACAAAGCAAACAACTGAAAAAGAAATAATGTGAAACATGGCATTACCTTTTGTCCTCTAGTCATATTAAATCATAAAGTCCACTTCTGCTTATAACTCTATCTGCTGCACACTTATTAATGTAAAAACTTTTACGCAAAAGACTATAGTCTTTACATTTTTACACTCTTTTATGCATTTTTACACACTTTT